AAAATCTCCAGTTTTATTTTTAAGATTAATTCTTAGTCAGAATAACAGAGTTACCTAGGTTATCAGCGTCGCTAAGGCGCTAATAATCATCACAAGCTTGCTTCTACCTTCCGATGCAAGATCGGTGTGCATCTCGACGGTGATGGCTTCAGCCACCTGTCTCAGTTTTGCAATTGGGGTTGCGAAATCCTCTTGTAGCACCTGCACAATCTGAAAAAAACTCACACTACTTTCATGCCAATTTGAAAAACTGTTTTTTTTTTAGTATTCTAGAAGTTTGTAGATGAGTTTTGATTTTGGGAACTGAAGTTTTCTGGTGGTTTACAATAAACGAAGAAGACAACGACGCTTAAGAGAATATTAGGTTTAGGAAAAAAAAAATTACAGAAAAGAAAAAAGGAAAGAATTTAATTTTTAAAATAAATCTAAAAGATAATACGTAAAAATAGGAGAACTAATGATAAGAAAAAAAATTATTTAAATAAAAGAAAAAAAATTATTTAAAAAAAAGTTTAAAAAATAAATGTTAAAAAAACATATGTGAGATGGACAATTGTCAACTGACTTGTGTTTTATTATAATTATAAAGATCTGCTTGAGAAGCGAGGACGCTTGGAAACTCCAATTGATCAAAACGCCGCGTTTAAGCAGCAGTATCACAATCCAACAAAACGGTGCGTTTTAGGGTTTGGTACAACGCACCAATAAAGTCTAGAGCCCAACAGACTTTTGCTTTATGCCGAATACATAGACTGGCGCAAAAGAGCCTCTGAGCCCAGAATCAGATAATAATAAATTCAGCCCGTAAAAAATACAAAACGGTTGACTTTGTAGTTCTCTAATATATTGACCGCTAGAAAAAGGAAATACGTACTAGAAAGAAAAACAAAAAGGAAAGTTCAATCTTGACCGTCGATATCTGATTTATAGATCTTGGCCGTCAATTGTTTTATTTCTAGGGCAACTATAAATAGATCGCTCTTCCACCTGACCTTGTTGCCGCATCAGAAATCAGAGAGTTCTTCGTCTTCGCTTAGAAAGAAACAAAAACCTTTTGTGAATCGAAAGCATTTGTTAGGGTTTAAGAATGATTGTTCCAAAGGGAGTGCCTTCTTTCTACCTCAAAGTGTACAACATTGTCGATGATCCTTCCTTGGATCCGATCATCTCCTGGAGCGAAACCAACCACAGTTTCATCGTCTGGGATGTGAAAGCGCTTTGCAGAGAGATTCTTCCGAAATACGCTGGACTGGGCAAAAACTACTCTCACTTCATCTCAGAGCTTCGCTACCACGGCTTTGAGAGAGTCCCTGGAACTGGGCAACTCGAGTTTGGGAACGATGACTTCGTGAGAGGCCAGCCACATCGCCTGAAGAAGATGGTGTTACAAAGGATGGCGAAAATCGGCGCCAATCTTGAAGCAAAGATCTCTGCGATGAAAGCACAGATTGCTAGAGCGAGCGCAAGGCAAGATCGAGTCAAAGTTGAGAATCTCCTTCAAGGTTTACGACTCTGATCGAACAACATCGTCTTCTCTTCTTGTAATGAAAATCTGCCATTTTTTTTTTGTATATCTGTCTATATACCGTATTAATCAAGAAAGTTGTTCCATTGTCTCTTGTTACTCTTCTTACTTTTTGACCTATAATGAATGATAACTCAATGCTTTTACTAAGATTCCACTGTGCAATAGCCTGACGAACGAACCACAACCAATTGCTATAATGACTCTCAAATATGTTTTTGTAACCTCTTGTTTTGATTTTGTTTGAAATGGATTAATCTGCGCCTCTGCAAGATATTAGATTTTGAAGGAGGAGAGGGCTTCAGTAGGATCTAACAGTGCTCCTCGTTGTAGGATTTATTGAGTGCAATTAAATTTCCTTTCATATAATGATAGGTCTTGTTTCCTCTCTCTGCTTCCGTGGATCTGAATTCACTTGGTGAATTCACTGATGATTCTGGAGTCACTTCTTCTTCTTCTTCTTAACAGTTGCATCTTCTGAGTATAAGCTAAGAGCAACAGTGTAAGCCCCATTTTTACTCTCTAGGAACCATACAGCTTCGAATTTCCTTTCATAAGCAGATTTTTTTGTTATCTGCAGAGGCCAAGGGGATGGAATATGCAAGGGCTGCAATTTTATTTTCAATCAGTTGTGGGAGCAAAGGGTTTTATCTACTGCCTTACATTTGTCACTTCTCATCTCTGTCTCAAGTGTAAGAGTTGATTGAATTTTTGTGTGTGTGTGTAAATTCCTTTAAATTACATACATTCTTATGTTATATCTAAGTCTGAGCCTCCTTATCAATTTCTCGCAGTTGCTTTGATTCTCATCTTGTGTCGAGCACTTGAACCAAGTTCTTGAGGCGTAACTTTGCTCGCTCCACCATACACAGGTAGGTTGCATCCACCTGATCAGCAAGTTTGATTTTAGTACTCGTTTTCATTTGTGGATTCTTACCGATGCTTACCTCTTTCCCTGTGTCCTGTTCTGTAATGGTTTTTAAGAAAGTGCTTGGAACAGACCAAATTTGAATATTATGAATGCTCTGGTTAGAACTGCATTTACTCGTTTGCACTCATCTGATCAAAACTGCAGATGGCAACGCAACATTATACAGACATTCATGTCTATTCAAATGTTTTTCTTGCTTTACTATTTGGTTCCAGTCATCTTTTCTCTCTATTGGCTCAACAACTTCGAGTGGAATTCTTCGTTGAAACTTGATCAACTGAATATATATGATTATAGGAGGAACCACCATTTTTAATCAAACACTTTTTTCTCCCTTTGTTGATGCTCTTTGTCTTTGAGACTAAGTGTTACATGGGCTAAGAGCATTAGGTAAGTAATGAGAAGTGCGTTTTGCTCCTTTGGTTAAAACTCAGTTGTGTTGTGTCATGAGAAACCATCAAGTTTAAAACCCTTTTCATAATTCTCTCCCATGAGCAAAAAGATAAACGTAGTTTCCAGAATTGTTAGGTTGGATCTTCAGAGTTGTCCCCATGAATAAGGAAAAGCCTGAGTTTTGTTTTTCTTGTTGGCAGCTATTGAAGCTGATGTATCAAGCACCAGTAACAGCAGGTTACCACCAGTAACACTTGTCTAGATATATTCATGTTTGTCTTGCTCTTCCTTTCTGGGTTTTGACTTGTTCTGTATCTCATCTCCATACCTTAAAACTCAAAAAACAGAGTACCATGAAATTATTATTCTATTTATTCCTTGTGTTTATGATCCTACTCTCTCATATATGAATGATGTAAGTGAAGTTGAGAAATTTTTCCCTAACTGATGATTCTCAAACAAATCCATTGTGGCATTGTCTCTGACATCTACATAACCAAGTCCTCTATATCAGTGGATTCCCCAAAGACGGTTATATCACATGAGAGGTTCAAATCTCAGCGATTTTGTTTGTGATGTCCATTAGGCCAAGTCCCTTTCTACTTCTTTTTGCCTATTTTTAAAAAAAAAATATTTCCAACAAAAAAACAATGTTCTTCAGAAAAAGCCTTCACTGCTCAAAGCCTAAGAAAAAAACTAGTGCCAACAAAAAAGGGATATAAACTCTCATATTTCTCACATGGGAAACAAAGTGTAGGCTTTATATTAAGAAGGTTTGTTACTCCAATGCAAGTGTTGATGTGATTCTTTTACCAAGATTTGGACTGAAACGCCTATGCCTAGTCAGAAATTATAGCTTTCCACTTACTTAATATATTTCATCAGTATCGATTTTTTTCTCTTTTTTAAATAGTTTTTGAATTTCCTTGTTATTTTGTTTGTTATTGTATGTTGTGTATACTTGGTAATTAAAAGTCTTTCTCACGTTTTTTTTTCATTTCTTTATATATTTTAATTTGTGGTAACAGAAGATTATTGAAGGAATAGACAAGCAAAAGAAATGCAAAACTTCCACAAGAATCGTACAAAGCAGTTTTTAACCTTTTTCAGACGAGATAGACGTATATAATTCATTGTTCAAAATAAAAAGACAGACTTATAATTTTTTTAAAATATAGTTTTCTTAAATACTAACGGAAAACAAGCATTAAATCAAAAGAATGTAAACCATCTTAACGGCGCCACTAGCAATTTAATTTGAAGTCTAGTGTTTAACTCTCTTTACTCGACTTTTCTTTCAATCACATTTCCCACTTTCTTCTCAACTTCTGATAATAATTAAATGGTGAACACGAAACATATATATATATATGTATATATATTCTTTTATCTATCTACTCTCTCGGTTTGATATTTTTCACCTAAACTGATTAAAAAATCGGGACTTTCACAACTACAAAACGAAATGGTGAAAATCTGTTCGATTTTTTTTTCTTTTCTTTTTAATAACGTCATTTTCTTTCCCCCGTTTAAATAGGGGAAATTAGCACTGATGACCATAAACTTTTTTGAAATTCAGCAAATAACTATAACAATTGAGGTGCTATAGTATTCATTGTATTTTTATAATATATACGAAATTACCCTTTTTAATTTTAACAATATTTTTTTTGTTTTTTCTCTTTTTCTGTGATCTTCTCTCTTTCCCCTGCCGTTTCTTCCCTTTCTTTCCTGGTTTTTTATTTTCCTTCCTCTCATTTTCGTCCCCTCTCTTCTCCTCTCTCTTCCTCCCTTTTCCCTCCCCTTTTTATCCCTTTATTTTTGTAAATAGTATAAATAGTATAGTATAACAATAAAAACTAATATGTAATTATTATACTATATTAGTTTACATATTAGTTTTGTCAAAAACAAAACACATATTATAGTATAGTCCAGAAAAAATATAGACAACATGTGTTTTCATAATATTCTTACGCGAAGAAGAAGGAAATTTTAATAATTTTTATGTGGGTCATGGTTAGTTTGCATATTATTTAAACAGCATAATTATATTTTTTGATTGTTTTTTAAATATGGTTATATAACAAAAAAAATCCTTTAAATAGCACTAATTCGTTTAACGAATAGAGGGCAAAATAGTCATTTCGAACATCATTTCTCTTTCTACTCTCTCTCGCTTCTTCACTCACTCGGGTCCTTAAAAATCTCTCTCTCTTTCTCTCTCCTCTGTGTCTTCTCCTTCTACTCTTTCTCATTCTCCCTCCGGCGCGTCTCTGTTTGTTTTAGGGTTTTTCGATTTATTTTTTGTTCCAGATTTTTTTTTTCATTCACGAGGTCGAGGAAGAAGAGGAAGTAAAATCAAATCAAAACTCCCATAGAAATGGAAAAGAAACAAGGTTTTTTCTCAGCACTACGAGATGAAGTCGTGAGAGGTCTTTCGCCTTCTCGCTCCAGACCACGTTCTCGCTCCGCGAGCCCATCCCGCTCCAATTCAGCTCTTCTCTGGGGTCGGAAGAAACTTATGGCAAGCTCCGGCTGTAGCGGCGGCGGCGGATATTACTTAGCGGCGCAACCAGAGCCTATGGTTGGAAGATCCGGGAGCTTAAGACCTGTAATGGAAGGTCCTGATCCTGACGATAATGATGGAGGTGGAGGTGAGATTTCAGGGGATCCGAAACGACTCGGGTCGGGTCTAGGTCACTGGGTCAAGGGTCAGTTGTCACGTGCTCCCTCCGTGGCTTCCACGTCGACTTATCGGAGGTCCGATTTGAGGCTTCTCCTCGGCGTCTTGGGAGCTCCTCTCGCACCCGTTCACGTCTCTTCCTCCGATCATCTGTTGCTTCGTCTCACCCTCAAAGATACCTCTATCGTTAGTAACTCCTTCGATTCCAAATTTTCTAGGGTTTTAAAATCTTCCATGGGTTTCAATTAGAGAAACAAATTGCTTTTTTTTACGTTTTTTAATCCCAAAAAAAATTATTATACAGATCTCTCTGGTCGACAATCTCTCGATTCAATTTTATGTTTTTTTTTTGCTAGTTTGGGAATCTCCGTGATACCTATGTTCTATTTAAGTTTCTTACTATTATTTTTGGCCTATTTTGGATTGGTTGGTGGAGTATTGTCATTATCTGGTGGGGATTTTGATTGATATAATATGATTAATTTACAAGTTACTTAAAATAATCGATTTTTGTTTCCATTATTGTTGATCGTTTCACTGATTTTTACCTCCGGTGATTGTTGTTGTTATGTATATTGCAGGAAGCATCATCTGCTCAGTACATTCTGCAACAGTACACGGCGGCTTGCGGTGGCCAGAAGCTACAAAACTCCATTAAAAACGCTTATGCTATGGGTAAGCTCAAGATGGTAACTTCAGAGCTCGAAACTCCCACGAGAACAGCTCGAAATCGAAACCCGACAAAGTCCGAAACCGGTGGGTTCGTTCTCTGGCAGATGAATCCAGACATGTGGTACGTTGAGCTCTCTGTTGGTGGTAGTAAGGTTCGTGCTGGCTGCAATGGCAAGCTCGTCTGGCGACACACTCCTTGGCTTGGTTCGCACACTGCTAAAGGACCCGTCAGGCCTCTTCGCCGTGCACTTCAGGTTATATAAGCCCTTTAACAGTAAAACTCGCATGATCTTTTGAGACCAAATCAAAATGTTGACTTTATGTTGAATGATGATGAATCAGGGACTTGATCCGAGAACTACTGCGACCATGTTTGCTAATTCGAAATGCGTTGGAGAGAAGAAAGTGAATAGTGAAGATTGTTTCATTCTGAAGCTATGCTCTGACCCTGAAACGCTAAAGGCGAGGAGTGAAGGACCAGCAGAGATCGTAAGACACATCCTTTTCGGTTACTTCAGCCAAAGAACAGGGCTTTTAGCTCAAATCGAGGATTCTCAGTTGACCCGGATCCAAACTAACGGTGGTGATGTGGTTTACTGGGAAACCACGATCAACTCGTCTCTGGAGGATTACAAGCAAGTCGAAGGGATCATGATTGCTCACTCTGGACGCTCTGTTGCTACCCTTTTCAGATTCGGGGAAGTCGCCATGAGCCACACGAGGACCAAGATGGAGGAAAGATGGAGCATTGAAGAAGTCGCTTTCAATGTTCCCGGTCTGTCTCGAGACTGCTTTATCCCACCGGCTGATCTTCGGTCTAGTTCTCTAACCGAGGCCTGCGAGTACCCGGATCAAGAGGAGAAAGGCAAGAGCTTGGCTGCAACAGCTCATAGAGCTAAAGTTGCTGCCTTGGAGAAAGGAAGGTTCGACGGTAATGATGTCTGAGTTTAAGATGCAATATGTTCATAGTAAATGCTGATAACAAGACTCAAGCCTTGAAACCAAACTAACTAACAGCTTTTGTTTAGGAGCTCATATATTAGGAGTTTGATTACACGATTGTTTTCTTTCGGTTTCCTTTTTATTCTTTTTTTTGCTTTTTCGCCTTCAGTATTTGAGTAAGGTGATGGGATTTGATTGATCTTGATGGCGGCAAGAGAAGTAGAATTGCTGCTTACATGTTGAATTTGATTTCAATGGAAGTATTCATGATTAGCTTGTGAATTTTATCCCTCTTTTTCATTTTTTCCTTGGTTTTAAACCGAGCTAAACCGATCCAAGTTTGAATTTGAATCATATTAGGTTCAATGTAGTTGGGACATGAAATTGATGTGAAAGAAAGAAAACAAAGTCGAGACATTCTTAATGTATGTACTGTTAATTCTAGTGGTTAGAGGAGTGAGTTGTGTTAGGTACCAATAGAGAAAGTGATAGTTAGGAAACATAAATGGGATTTTTATGAAAGGAATTGAAGATCGTGATTATGATGAAAAGGGGTCCATTTTTCTACTTTTGTAGCAAAAAATATATGCTTTTGCACAACTGTCTTCTCTTTTTATCATTAACGTTCTTTTAAAGTTATATATTCGACTTCGACATACGTCAAAATGTGTGATAAAGACATCGTTATAGAGGCAGTACAAATATCTGAAGACGAAAACGTAAAGTTGTGTTGAGCTTTTACCTCAAAGCTTAAACTAAATTTTGAGATCAAGATTTTGATAACCAACAAGACATTAAGAGAGAGAGATCAAAGTGAAGAAACTAAAAAGATTCACACCAAAGATACAAATACAAACGCTCACCAAAAAAAAACCTGCGACAAAAGAAAACACTCAGTGGGCAAAAAAACAAAGACCGGTTTCAAGGTTGTTGTCTAGAGCAAGTAGAAGAAGAAGATATGGTTAAACAAAGATCCTATTTACAAGTTCTTCTATTCCTTAGTTATGGGACTTATGACTCTACGGCAATAAGGACAGTCTCCACAAGCTTTAAGCCAAGGGTTTAAGCAAGACGAATGAAAACTATGAGTACAGGGCAAGGATATAAGCATGTCCCCTATCGTGAAACTCTCCAAACATATGCTACAATCTCTCCTCTCGGTTTTAACCTCGGCTGAGCTAAAAGTTTGCCGGTTTAAACCATCAATGGCACCTTGTGTGAGCCCTTGTGGCTTCTTGTTGCATTCATACGACACTTGAAGCCTCTCTAGTTGAAAATTTGGCTCTCCTCCTCCATAGAACGAAACCCCATCTGCGGAATTCAATGAGGATTCCATCTCATTCTCTCCCAGTGAAACTCTGTTGCTTCGACTGAATCAAAAAAATAACAAAATTGAAAAACTAAACAAATTCAGCACAACAAAATTGTGAAAAAGAATCTCCAAATCTGATTTATTCTACAAAGACCTGTTACTAGACAATGAAACGCCTCTCAATCTTTCCAAAAGTCTTGCCCTTGCGAGAAGAACAGCTCCGGGAAGCCTGTCGGATCCATTTAGGTTTCCAAAGCTGTTACTTTCAGTTTCCGAATCAGCACTGTTCGTGTTCATATACTGTGAAGTGCCTTGAACATCACGAACAGGTCTACGTTCCTGGGGACAAAAGAACAAAAAGGGTTGATTTCAGATTTAGCAAATTTAACAACTGAAATTTTACAATTTAGGGGGGGGGGAAGAAAGCTAACCTGGAGACCAAGATGGTGACAGAAGCGTCGGAGACGCGGCGGGGCACGCCGGAGAGTATCACAGCCGTCGGATTCATGACGGTGATTGTGATGGTGTGTCCCGTGACGGCGATGTTGATGATGATGATGATGGTGTGAGTGGTGTCGGTTAAGAGAAGAGTCGGATTCTAAATCCGGGTCGGATCTACCCGGACGAGATCTTCGAGTAGAGAAGAGCTCCGATGCGCTCGTCATGCACCGATCACCTAATTTCGTTAAAATACTTAAAACTCAAAGAACTGCAGAAACAATGAGATAAGGATTAAGGAGATGGAGGAGAGCAAAATTGGGAGGAAAAGTAAAAGGGGAACTGCAGTGAAAAGCTGACGTCATCCCACTCGTTGTTGTCGGAAGGAAGACATTTCTAAAAACGGTGTCGTGTAAACGTTTTTGAAAACGGTGTTTTAAGTTGGGCTTATTCTCCTTAAGGCCCAAAAAAAGTTATGCCAAACATTTCTGCAGTGTAGTTATGTTTGAAGGGGGTGGTATTAGATGATTGAATATGATAGAATGTATAAGAATTCAAAAATAATTAATTTTTAAGTAATTTAAAATATTGAATTAAAGTATTTTATAAGAATTTAAATTAATTTTATCAAAATCCTAGTAAAATGGTAGTAATTGATTCTTAATCATTTTTATGTGAGATTTTATTAAATTTCTTTCAAATGATAATATAATCAAAGCTATTACAAAATTGAATAACACAAATATTTAATAGAATTGAAAAATTAGTATATTAAATAATAATGATATTTAAAAGATTTTGAAAGAATAAATAGAAACATTTAATCCAATAACATAGATATTTAAAAGAATTGATAAATATATTATTGAATAACACAGATATTTAATGGAAACTTCAATTCAATCAAATACCCCCACCTAAGTTCTTTCAGCTTATAGCTTTCATCCATAGAGTCAAATACCCTTTGAATACGATTATGAGAATATAATAATTACACTTGTTTTTGATTTGCATGATACTCTCTCCGTTTCAGAATAAGTGTCATTTGGAGAAAATGTATTTGTATTGTAACTGGATGTATCTGGATGTATTTTGAATTTAATACATCTATATATATATATACATTGCATATATATTTTCTCTAATTAACACTTATTATGAAAATACTTACACTTAATATATATATATATATATGGCATAATGATTTCACCCATGTTAGATAATCAATGCACGAGTTGCAACTTGCAAGTAAACTATAAAGATGATCTTAGATTAAAAATTAATGAGACTGACAGGTATTTAATTAACACCTAATCAAATCATTTATGAAGTGTTTTAGTCAAGTGGTTCAATATATACTTTTGAATTTTTTCTTACTCAAATTCAATTTCATCTCCTCATAAAAGGTTGAGAAAAAGGTCAGTTTATTAAATTTGCGTCACAAAGTAAATGGATGGAAACTGAGATCGTAACAATCGGGCTGGACAAATAAATCACGTGAATAGCCAAAAGACATAAATTAAATTAACTATCCGGTGGATCTCCAAAAAAATGTATTCAAACAAATATTTTTCTTTTTTTGCTTTTCAGTTATATACAGATTATAAACCAACTAGTATTTACCCCGTACTTAGTAGTACGGAAAAAAGAATTTGATATCATTTAACTGAAAATATAATGTTTAATATTATGTTTGAATCTATCGATCTAATAATTTTTCATTAGCTTTGTCCATATTTACAGATTAACTAACAATCTAACATATTACAAAGTGCTTTTTAAAATACTAGGTATTTACCCGCGCTACGCTGCAGGATATTTTTTCTAGATTTATATATATTTTTAATATAATAAAATTATTTCTATAATGTAAATGAGTATTATATTTATTTTTTATTAGCTTAAAATATGTATTTATATGTTTTAAATCTGAATAAATATTAAATATTATTAATATTTTAAAATTATAATCTACTATCAAATTTGTTTAGCTAACTATCTATAAATATATATGTAAGAATAAAACAATACATTTTTAAGTACAGTCATGCTAATGCTAAATGTAATTTATTATCTCTATTAAATTGCTACTTGATCCTCTTTTAAAATTATATAAAGCAAATTGCAATTTAAAAAAATATTAATTAATATGATTATTTTAAACTATAAAATTTATTTGTTTATCAAATATTTATCATAGACATATATTTCTAAAACTACCAAACTATAATCAATAACATTCATATCAAAATCATTACTATTACTTTTAAACTAAATAGAAAGTTCTATTTGAACTGCTGAAATATCAATTTAGTTAAAGTTAAATAATTCAACTTTGGTTACTATAAACATATTGTAACTTTGGTTACTATATCATTTTACAAAAACTGAGAAATTGTATTTTCCTACAAAAAAAAAAAATATATTTTCCCACAAAACTGAGAAATCGCATATTCCCGCCAAAACCAAAAAAATTCATTTTCTCGTCAAACATGAAATTTCATTTTCCTACCAAAATAAAGAAATTACATTTTCCGTCAAAAACCAAAAAATCACATTTTTCTGCGAGAACCTGTGTTTTCCCGTCAAAACAGAGAAATCAAGTTTTTTCACTAAAACCAAAAACTTTCATCCTCCTATAAAAACAAAAAAAATAGTATTTTTCCGTCAAAACCAAAAATATATTTTCCCACAAAAAATCATCTATTCCCACCAAAACAAGAAAAAATTATTTTTCTCGTCAAATCAAGAATCACGTCTTCCTACCAAAACCGATAAACTACAATTTTCCGCAAAAACCAAAAATTGCATTATCTCATGAGAAATTGCGTTTCCCGCAAAAACTAAGAAATTATATTTTCCCTAGAAAACCAAAAAATCAAATTATATGTCAAAAACTGAAAATTTAGATTTCCCATCAAAACCAAAAATTGTTTATTCCCGCCAAAATCGAGAAATTTTACTTTTCTATCAACCCGAAAAATTGCATTTTCTGCCAAAATTTTCAAATTACAATTTCTGCAAAAATCAAAAAATTGCATTATCCATCAAAAGCCGAAAAATTGCATTTTCTATCAAATCCGAAAAATTGTATTTTTCGTCAAAATTGAAAAGTTGCATTTTGCTCGCATTTTCTCGTCAAAATCAAATTTTTTATTTCTCACCAAAACCAAAAATTCACATTTTTCTGCCAAACCCGAGAATTCGCTTTTTTCCGCCATAACCGAGAAACTATATTTTCCTACCAAAACTGAAAATCACATTTTTCTACCAAAACCAAGAAATTCTCTATTTTCGCCAAACCTAAGGAAATTTGTTCTCGGTAACCAGTGGAAATGTGAATCTCCAAGCTGTGGTGGTCTGAGTTTCTCCTCAGTTGCTTTCGCCTTCCATTTTTTTTGATAACTTTGAGCTTTTTAATGGGTCAGTAATATAGTAAATTGATTTTATTAGTGTGTTAATAATATGTATTATTGTTATGTTTTTATTGGTTCAATTTGTTGCTGATGTGTGAGCTTCTTATAACATAACACTTTTTGCATTGTTGTTATGGAAACATAGTTGATATTGAGTCTACACTTTTTTAATCATATACGTATCTATCAAGCAAACACATAGGTAAAAATTTTAATTTTTTTTTGCTGTTTTTTATTATTTGAGTTTTGGTTTGGCAAAAATATAAAACAAAGATTTAATTTTATTATTTGTTGTTATTTATTATTTGGGTTTGGCAAAAAAATAAAACAATTTTTTTATTTGCTGTTATTTATTATTTGGGCTTAGGCTTGACCAAAAAATAAAACTAAAATTAACAATAAAAAATATTTGAGTTTTTAATTGGTTTAAATTTAAAAGTTAAAATATATTGATGACTTGTATTAATGAAATATTTTTATTGGTGTATTTTTTTGCTGAAGTGTCATCTCCTAAAAGCTTGAAAATACTGATGTGTCAAGCCATGGAGAGACTTATGGGTTATTGTTGTGTTGATTTCAAATCTATGTATTTAATAAAGTTGTTTTTAAACATACACACTAAATTAATTTTACGTTATTTTTCTATTTCGTATATTTAGTTCAAAGATATGTTGTGCGTTAGATGAGTCGGCTCCGTGATCCATTGCATCTAAAGTTTTATGGCTGCTTCATTTCCTAACTTTTCATCATCATCAATGGTCTTCGAAAGCTTCAAAACAGTAATCCGCTTCGACTTCTCTTGGGTTGGTGGTGATGTGGGCTGAAACTGTGAAGATGAGGCGAGAAGTAGCTATTCAACTCCTGCAAAAACTCAAGGAACAAATCCTTCTTGGTACTCAAAACTTTCATAGCTTCTTGAAACTTCTTGGAGCACCGAAGCTGATGAACGTTTCTTCTTCATTTATGATTCATTTTTAACGTCTGAAACATCGTAAGTTAACAAAGTGTTAAAAACAAAAACCTGTAAAGACAATTGCATAATTGCAAAAAAGAAAGTGAACACTGATGAAGGGAGATGAAATCCAGTAATTCGTTCAGTAAAAATGTCTACTAAATTTGAGGATAAACATGCAAAATCTCCCATTACAACTGGATTAAATCGGACGTAATTATCATTTTTCTTTGATTAGTAGACTATGGAAATGATATGTTGATGTGATTGTGAAAACAAAGTTAAAAAATCATATATAAATATGAATAGCCGCACATATAAATTTGAAGAACACAGAAAGAGAAAAATAAGTGAAGCATAATGCTTTTTTTCAAATTTCAGATTTTTCTAACTATTCTTAAAAGTTATATTTTTGTTTTTGCGAGAAGGAAGACTTTGAAAAATTACCTTTGATAATAATTTCATTGACGGATTTGATTGTTTGAGGGACTATATTTTCTGGCAGTCAAGAGCATATATTAAAGTTCAAAAGTAATGTTTTTTCATTGCGTATTGATAAATGGGACGAAGTTGCAAACTGAAACAATTTAATATAGAATGCTAACATTTACCTGTTAATTAGTTTTATTTGTCTTATAATTTCTTCATCGTTATCGATTTTGTCATCTTCCACACTTCATATTCTTCTCGCGTCTCGCCTTACCTCTACAATCGTAAATAAACCAATTTTCGTTGATGAAAATCTGGAACATTGAAATTATAGAAACAAAAGTACCAAATTTATTATTTATGTCATATCTAATATCTTACCCTGAAATCTCTTCTATGTTGATTCTGAGATCTACCAGATCTACTCTTTCTCTGTCGGCCCGATGAAACACGGATCCTTGGTTGAAACTGACAAAACTATACAGAGAAGTGAGGCAGAGGAGTAAGGCATCTTTGAGATTCGTTTACCATGAATCAAAATTGAATTTGGTTTGGAACATTCAATACGGCCTCAAATTTGAATTCGGGATTAAAATCGAAAAAGAGGGAGAATAAGACTTTCATATTAAGTTGTTTATCTGAGGGAAATAAGAGTATGAGAGAGAAAAAATATGAACGGCGAAGAAGGATCGTGGGTGGGAGAAAAAGGATCATGGGTGGTAGCGATAATGTGTTGAAAAACGGTTAATCAATGTTTTTTAAAAAAAAATTTTAATTAACTTTCTTCAAAAATAAAGAAACAAAAATTAATTTTAATAAATTAAAAGACACTTGTCGAATGTATAATTGTCGACTGACTTCTGCTTTATAAGTATAAAGATGAGGACTAGCTTACTTCTTAGCTTAAGGGACAAAACTTAATATTCAATATACTAGTTGGTAGTACATCAAATCTACACTTCTTTTTTATTCGTAAAGTTTTGAACTAATGAATTATGAACTCTTAATGATATATTTTTGCAAAGTCAATGAATGAATATTCATTTATCGTATCTATATATAGCGAGCTCGACAATCCAACTCAATCACCAATTAAGTGAGTAGAATAGGAAATCAGCATGCAAGATCCCAAGATGAAGCTCCATTGTGGCTTTTTATTTTTCAACATGGCAGTTATCTTTGGCCTCCATGAAAAAGATCTCGACTTCGAGCTTGTCTTCATAGATTGGATTGCTGGTGAATCCAAAACCAAATCCTTTCTCTCTAATCTCAACGTACAACTCTCTAAACTCTTGGCCGTACGTACATCATATATTTTTTTGTGTTTGTACTTTGTATGACTATCTTTTCGTTTTCAGCCATTTGGTCAAGTTCCGGTTCTTGAAGATGGAGATCTCAAACTTTTTGGTATTAATTAATCTTGTCTTTATATTCTACAAGACTACAACTTCATTTATAATATCTTGCATTTGATTGGTTACAAATGATCACTACAACTTAAAATTTTTTGAATTATGTATATAGAGTCAAAGGCAATCACGCGATACCTAGCCGAGCAATACAAAGAAGAAGGAACAAATCTATTACCCAATGATCCCAAAAAGAGGGCAATCGTATCGATGTGGATGGAAGTAGATACAAACCAGTTTCTTCCTGTGGCGTTGACTCTCATCAAAGAACTCATCGTAAAACCATATCAAGGTTTAGCCACAGACTTCACATCGGTTCAAGAAAACAAAGAGAAGTTATCAGAGATTCTGAACATCTACGAGACTCGCTTACGCGAGTCTCCATACTTAGCCGGACAAAGCTTCACTTTAGCGGATCTTCATCATCTCCCACCGATTCATTACTTGTTGAACACGGAAGAAGAAGAAGTGAAAAGCTTGATCTACTCACGTCCCAGTGTAGCCGCATGGGTCGAGAAGATGAAGTGTAGACCCGCTTGGTTAAAAACAGTCGTCATGCAAGAGCACATCGTTGACTTGATGAACCGACGTCGTTTGCCTAAACAGTCAGATTCGTCATGTCACGAGTTAACGGCGGATGTGGCTCAGAAAACTGCGATGGTGATTGGGAAAAATTAAGTAATCGGTGTGACCCCTCATTATGATCCATTAAATAATATTGTATGCTCAATTTGTGTAAACGAATGAAATAATTATACAGTATATTGTGTAAACTTTTTAAGCTATATGTTTGAATTAAAATAAATGTTTAAGAAAAAATTAATCACACTTGTAACAAAAACTTTCCAATCTAAATTTTGAGCAAAGTTGGTTTTAAAAGTAGAATCAATCTATGAAGTTGAAGAAAAATAAGAGTCCTCAGAGCAGAGGAATATTCTTCTGTGGCCACGTCGGACCGAAAGCGTTGTTACTATTGTGCACCCGCACACATGAGATTAGTCCCAACGAAAACCCCAAAACGAACCGTTGCGATAAAAAAAGTGAGATGAGAGTAGAAAAAAAGAAAGTCATATCCCGGACCCTTTGTAACGGCTACTTCCCCATTTGTATATTTTCCCCAAAAACTCAAAAAAAAAAAAGAAGGTCACCAAGGAAACTCTTTCTTCTCCACTCGTCTTCTCTCTCTCTCTAATCGAATCGAACTTTCTCCACGTATTTCCGCTTCTCCAAATCTTTCTTCGCTAAAATTCGATACAACTAATTGAGGAGATGATCAAAGCCGCCATGGATCTCGGTTGCTTGGATTTGGGATGTCTTTCAGTCTCTGAAAAGAAAAGCGGCGTCGGAGTTGCCGATCCTCTTGATTTTTCGTCCTCCGCATCGAAATCTGGGCAGGTAAATTTCGTTCCGGTTAACCCAATTTGTTTTCCCGTCTCCGGTTTACATTGGATTGAAGGTTCTTCCCGTCGAATACAAACTTAGGGTTTGATAATTTAGACTACCGTAGTGGAAATCAGAATGTAGTGCACGCGATTTAGGTTTCTGAATGGTTCGTAGCTTCGATAAATCAGTCAATTAGGGTTTCGATTTAGGCTTAAACATCTAAACTTACTTGTGATCTTGATATCTCCACACTATTTAAAGCCCTCTCTGTTTCTACTAGTAAGTGTTGTTAAACCTCTATTCGTTTTGATTTTCATATACCAATTGGTTTTAAAATGGCTGTTCATTTATATATCTGTTGAGAAATGCAGAACAAATCACCGAGAGAGACATCAGCTCTTAGAAAATCACAATCAAAGAGGTCCGCTCAACGTAAAACCTCACCTCTTGGCTGGTTTCCTCGCAGAAAGGGGGATTCATACTTGAATAGGAAGATAAAGAAACTGCAGGTAAAAGTTTCATTCTAGTTATATATATGTATACTGTTATTGATTGATATAAAGAAACTACAGCTAAAAGTTTCATCCTAGTTATATAGACTGTTATTGATTGATAACAGCACTAAGTCAATGTTAGTGTTGGTATATTGAAGTTGTGGTACGGTGTTATGTATGTAGGAGGTTGGTGGAATGAACCAGACTCTTGATGAGACTCTTGGCGACTCAAATCCACACTACTGCAAAATCGTAAGAGAACAAATGGCTGTGAGAGAAGCTGCAGGCAAGGCCATGGAGCTTCGAAAAGCTGCTCTGGTTGAAGCATCTTGGTGTAGAATACTTCGAGCTGCTAGGTAATTTGAAGGTTTTAGCATCCGGGAAGATCTTTTGTGGTACTACCCTAGATAGATCTCTAGCTTCTTAACGGCTGTTTTTGTTTCCTTGATTGATAGGATCCCGAGTTTAGAAGCAGAAGCTTTGATGGAGAATGCAGAAAAATCTGCAGTGGAAGCTTTTGAAGCGGCGTCTGCGTTGGGAGTGGTAATGCATGATAAACCAAATAGCTCAAGGAAGCAATATCGAATTAAAACATCAGGGACACATGAAGGAGGATCTCCTACTCATACCGTTACTGCATCTTTTGAAACTGCATTTGATGTGGATAAAGAAGTAGCAGCTGCTGTTAAAACTGCATTCGCTAAGCTTGCAAATTGCCCCTCTCTCAGTAAAGCCGAGATTAAAGATCTTCTCAGGAAAATCAGCGAGCATCCTGATCTGCGTGATCATCATGAAATCACTGAGATGTCTTCAGAGTGTGACACAGAGTCCGATTCTGAACCCGGCACTCTACACAAGGTTGATGAAGAAGTGGCTAAATGTGAGGAGACTTCGTATTTCAAAACGAGTCAGCTAAAAGTCAAGAGGAGGCAGTCGTTTGGGAAGTTTAGCAGGGAGAAGCTAGTGGATATGATGCTTGAGAGGCTTCAGGGCTTACATGAAGACCAACTTTCGAGTCTTGCCTCCATAGTTGCAACTTGTGGTTTAAGCGAGGCCTTGGCTGAAGATGGACACCAGAGGCTGCAGACCACAAATGCCGAACCAACTGTGTCAGATCATGGGAGTTTTTCTACAATGGATACAAAATCGAGAAGAGATTCTAAATTTGGATCCTTAATGGAAGGAAAAACAGCAAAGGATGGTAAAGAGACAGAGATTCCGAGTTTGGACAAGTATCTAGTAAAGCACATGACCAAACTTGAAAGAGAAGTCAATGAAGCCAGAAGAGCTTCAAATGACGTATCTGACAAAGACAGAAAGGTTCGTCAAGGTGCTGTTGCAACTGATACAGTTCCAGATTTGGGAAGCATCCTTGTGAAACATTCATCCAGGCTTGAAAAAGAGATCGAAGAAGCCAAGAAGAACGCGGGAGTGAATCCTGGGACGTACGAAAAGAAATCAAGCAGAAACAAAACGACATTGGATCCTATTCCTGACTTGGAAAGTCTGCTAGTGAAAAAGCATGTTTCAAGATTGAAGAAGGATGTCGAAGAAACTATAAGGAACTGCGGAAACATGTATGAGAACGTGAAGAAACCGGGAAAACAAGATACTGGAGCAGCTAGTGGTGTCCCTGAAGTTCCCAGCCTGGAGAGTTGTATGGTAAAACATGTCTCCAAACTAGAGAAAGAAGTCCAAGAAGCTAAGAAGAGATGCAAAGAAGAACTTGAAGCAAGAAATTCTAAAACAGTTGAGGAAAGTTCTTGTTTGGTGAGGGAAGAACCGGTAAACGAAAACGCAGACTTGAACAAGAAAGTTGAGTGTCAAGAAGAAAGCCTAGACAAGATCTTGGTCAAGCCAGTGCACAGGCTGGAAAAAGAGAAAATTGCGTCAGAAGCAGTTTACGGAAACCGGATGATCCAACAGAGAAAACAAGCAGCAAAAAGCGAGTCGGATTATGAGAGTTTGGACAAAATTCTGGTGAAACATGTTCCAAAGCTAGAGAAAGAGAAGCTGAGGTTCAAAGCAGATAAGGAAGTGACCAAAACAGAAGTAGAAGAGAAGGAGAACAACAATGAAAACCATAACCAGGAACCTGAAACCATGAAGGTGGCAAAACCGGTTCTGACCAAACGGCAAGTGAGGGATAGAGAAATACAAGAAACTTGGGGTGGTTTAGGACTTGGGGAGACGAAGAACATTAACCAGAAGAGAACTGATATCAAGAAAACAGAAGCTACTGAGCATCTGGGAGAAGAGACGAGACCGATTCAAACTAGACGACAAGCGAGGGACAAAGAAATGCTAGAAGCTTGGGGTGGTTTAGGACTTGGTGACTCAGGCCTGTACCAAACGGTTAATAAGCATAAAAGGAAACCTGAAAGCGAGAAGGTAGAGACACCGACACCATTTTTAACCAGAAGACAAGCAAGGGACAGAGAAATGCAAGAAGCTTGGGGTGGCTTAGGCCTCGGGAACTCTATTCGACCGAGTCTGTCAAAACTTGAGAGAGAAAAGGTTAGTTTTTTTCGTTTCTTGCAAATTTAACAATTTTATTTCCTATTAAGAAAGTAATCATTTAATTTGGTTTTGGTTTTGGTTTGTTTCGTTCTCTCATTTGTGCAGGCTGCGTGGATCAAGGCCGAGGAAGAAGAAATGACTCGTGGAAACTAATGGCATTAAACTCAATGGAACAGAGCATAAAACAGGTTGATAAATAAGATGGACCAAATTTAGAACATTGGTTAGGAAAAGTCATTCTTCATCGTTGATATTGCCTATTCAATAACTAAATTTCAAAAAAATATTGTGTAAATTTCAATCGGTAATAACAGTGGACCGTTGTAGTATATAGTATGAAATAAAATCTCTTTTACGTCGGAACCAATTTACAGAAGCTTGCAACAAAACAAGTTGTGCTAAAAGAGGAGAGGGCGTAAAAGAGCAGACGGTGGCGCACCGTAGCACCGCCCCTCCTAACTTGCGCCTTTCTTCTTCATTTTTTTGGGTTCATACCAAAAAAAAAAAAAACAAGTTGTGCTGATTATAAGACTGACACGTTGCAAAATAATTTTTTTTTTTTTTTGGGGACAAAAAGGAAAGCAACGGTCTCCAAGTCTCCACCATCTCTCTCTCTCTACATTGTTCTTTTTCTCTTGTGATTTCTCCGAGAAGCCAAAAAAACAATGGGTGAGAACCCATGGCAGCCTCTTCTTCAGACCTTCGAGAAACTATCAAACTGCGTACAAACTCACCTCTCCAATTTCGTCGGCGTTAAAATTACTCATCCGTCGTCATCCACAATCCAAAACCCTATCTCATTAGACTCTTCCCCACTAATCGCAACCAATAATTCCACTCTTCAGAAACTTCCTCTCAAGGTACGAATCTCTTCTTAAACCTAATCCGGTTTCAATTAGCTTTCGGGTTCGTTTTACACTGTTTCGAGACCTGGTTATGATCACCAGCAACGTGTTCGATGAAATTCCCCAATGAACCCTTACTAACTTTTCTGTGTCTCGTTTTCTAAAACCTTTCTTTCTCTACAGAAATCGATGAAATTTTAAAGTTTACTTGCTCAAAAATTTCACCTTTAAACACTCATTGAAAAGGGTTTCATATGTATCTGTGCGAACCCATCTTCATCTCATTGCAATAGATTTTGTTGATACGAACATGTGATCTTTTTACCGTTTACACCCATCTTACTCCATATTCTTTCAGGACAAGCCTACAGGTCCTGTGACTAAAGAGGAGCTCGGGAGAGCTACTTGGACATTTCTGCACACTCTTGGTGCGCAGGTTGAGAGTTTCCTTCATTTTTCTTCAGTTATCTAATTATCTAAGTCATATTCTACACTTCGGGTTGAACACTCCTGACTATCTTTCTTTCAATTATTGAGCTATAACCATATTTATCATCCTTGAGGTATCTTTTTGGGGTATTGGTTGATTGTTGGGAACCCGTTGGGCTAGGGAGAGTGGAGACTTGCGAGTGCTTTTTGATTCACGTTTGGTTCTTTTTACGGGCTGCTCTCTCTTCATTGATTTTACAGAGTGAAATAAAGGGTTCTTGTTCAGTTTCCGTCCTTCTCGTACTTCAATTCTATCATGTTGATGCAACCTCTTGCAGTTTATAAGTATATGGTTGTGAATTGGTTACACTCGAGAATGTATTCTGAATCAGATGTTTCTTTTTTTCTTCTTTCTCTCATCAGTATCCAGAAAAACCAACAAGGCAGCAAAAGAAGGATGTCAAAGAACTGGTACAACTCCTCCTGCTATAGTCTATTATATATTATATGTAGACGCTAGTTTATTAGAGATCAAGTTGTTAATGCTAAAACTTTCAGCTTGGAACTCCTAAAAGAAGTATATAGATATATATCAAGGCTCTACCTTTTGGACCAGTTATTCTCAAGAATGTGAAAGCTAAAAACTGAACCTTTTTTGCTGTGTAGATGGCGATACTTTCTCGAATGTACCCTTGTAGAGACTGTGCAGATCACTTCAAAGAAATCCTAAGGTAATTTAATATTGCAGCTCATTGCATCTTACTGGTACTTGATATTGATCACTCCTTCTCTCTTGGTTTGGTTCGTGATAGATCGAATCCCGCGCAAGCTGGATCTCAGGAGGAGTTCTCGCAGTGGCTTTGCCATGTACACAACACCGTAAATAGAAGGTAAACTGAAAAGAAGAGTAAATGTTAGCGTAGGGATGTTATTGGGGGGCATTCTTGCACATCTCAAAATTACGAGGCATAAGTAGGAATTTAAACTTTATTAGGATCTGAAATGTAAGAATCGAGAACTAATGATCCATATATGCAATTCTAATTTTCTTTTGCAGTTTGGGAAAATTGGTGTTCCCTTGCGAGAGAGTGGATGCAAGATGGGGCAAGTTAGAGTGCGAACAGAAAAGTTGTGATCTCCATCGAACTTCTATCGACTTTTAGACGTTACTATATTGTACTAATTTCATTAACTACTTTTTTATGAAAATAATGTATGAAAGTTAATTCCAACAAAATAAAAATTAGGTATGTGTAGTGATCTGCATGCAATCCTTTTCCAGGAAGTTTGAAAAAAATGGTAGCTAGTGGGGTTCAACCGATAATTTTATAGTGGTAATTGGTGATTTTCTTAGAAACTTGAAAAACGGATTAATTGCAAAAAGTAAATAAATAAATGGTTAAAGAATTGATACTTTTGAATTTTTGTAATTTATTTAAAACACTTTATGTTCTCTAAATCACTGACAACTTACATTAGAATGAATAACAAAGGTTCAAATAGATTAAAAGAGTAATAGTATACCTAATTTAGCTTCTGCTCAATTTTCTTCCTTGGTTTTTATTTTCTCGGCCTTCTATACTTTTTGTCGTGCAATTTGTGAAACGTTACCTCTAAGAAACTTGGGAACAACCAAAAATCAAGTACTTAAATCACATCTTGGTTTGATTCAAGGGCACGCATAATTAGATAATTATAGTAGTAGTAAATAATTACTTAATAATGCCAAATAATTTAATATTTTACACCAACTTGCTAAACCCATATTTCAAATAGTCCAGTAAATTTTAAAATTTTGAGTTAAGAACTAATGCTTTTAGTTAAATGTAGAGAATATTCTATTTGGGGATCAACTAAATTTGTATTTCTCCATAAGTCTGTCTCCATTAACACGTGTTTAAGAAGCTACTTGTTCGAGACTATTTGAAATATACTGGACTTTTGTATAATATATTGAGTAAAATAATAATAGAAAAACAAATATACATCATCTATTTGGTTCACAAATACTGTATTGAGAGGAAATGAAAAGGAGGAGTATATAAGATACAGTGATAATGTAAGAAAAAAAACTTTTAAAGCAGAATGTGTTGGGATTAAGTGGAAAGGGTGTTCTAAGTCTGTAAAGTAGAAAGGTGACAGTATTAAATTATTAATATTACTCTCATTCTTATTTGTCAAAAAGGGTTTTAATATTTTAATCAGTTTCAAAGTTGGCTAACTACTATTGGTCTCTCAAGTGAATATTATATTATTCCGGATATAAAATATGATTAGTCAATAATCTTAGAAGTATGCTTCAAGTCACATGATCTTAAGAAACTTCGCTAATAAACAAATACTAATCCACAAGTGTTAAAAAAAGAACGATTGTATATGAATATTGTAACGATTCGGCCTCGGCCCATTTGAATAAGTTTAAATGGATTGATTTGGTTATTTATGTCATTAAAATGCACTTATCTTTTTGGTCACAAATCATAAGAGAACTCAACAGTTAAGAGTGCTTAGATCATCTCCATTGGTAAAGACCCATATAGGATTTTTAAACATTTTTTAATATAAATTTTGCTTCTTTTTTCTTTTAAGAACCCTTGTACTTGATTTAAATTTTTTGCTCTTCCATTGGTAGAATCTCTTAATGGGTTTTTTAAAAACAAAATTTAAATTATAAAATTACTTTACTGTAAATTCCAAGATGATTTCATGTCAATTGTGAATCATGAATTAAAAAATACATAGATGAAGAATCGACACAGTTATGAGGGAAGATCATGAGAAAAAGCAATGGATTCTTGAAGAACAAATCGCAAAGAAGAACAAGGTGTCGCATATCAAATAAGTTTAGAAGAAGAAAAACAGATGATCAACATTACCTCAAGATATTTGATTGTCGTATTTGCAGTAGTCTGTTTCGTTCAGATGCATTTGTTTTCTCTTGTAGATTTTCGGGAAGAATTCTATCAAGAAACCGTCCATCGATGTAACACCACCTACGTTTTAAGAAAGAAGAAAAACAAAAAAATGAGCAATGTTTAATCAAAAAATGATACAACGATGCAAGTGAAGATGAAGTAACTAGTGATTTAAACCTTTAGAGCTCCTTCATCGGCAGCTAGAGCTTCACCGGCCATCGCTTAAACCTTGATATTCAACCAATCTTGTGTGATCGATCTCTTTGTACCAAAAAAAAAAAAAGAGAATAATCAAGTATGTAACACAACCTTGTATGAAACGGGGTTGAGACTTAAGAATAGCTCCCATATAATTATTGTACCTGTTAGCATATTGAACGAATCTTCTCAGTGGTACTGCGAGTTTTGGGGTCGAGATCAGCCAGCTTGCTGCTCTCTGGTTCAACTTTTTGAGTGTCTATTTCAGGTTCTCCCTTCACAAAGATTGAATTGGTTTTTCAGGTACAATATTTTTGACTCTGAACGTAGCAAAGACTCCAGCTAAAGAATAACATATGTTTACTTAATCAAAGCTGGCAAAGATCATTCAAATCAACATATAAAAAGACCCTAGCAGATAAACCAAACACAAAAACAGTTCAAATATCATGATCAGCAAAGACAAAGTACCATCCCTATCTCATTCTGCAAAAACTGACAGAAAAGGCAACTGAAATCCATTCTTTCTACATCTTTTTAAGAAATTGCATCCTCAAAAACAAAGTAAACACTACCACTTCCATACCACACTAAGGAGTTCATGTGAGCCACAACAAAAATTCAACGAAAACTCAATAAATTAAGAATAGATTGCAAATAAACAAAGGCACATACTAAAACAATTACTACACAACGCAGGACAAATACCACATTGTTCAAAATCAAATATCAAAGAGAAACAAAACCATAACAATTACCTAACAGAGAAGTCTAAAAGAAATAGAGAGAGAGCTTCAGCAGCAATCCATAAATATGCAACATATCAATCAGACGGATGGAGCCTTTTGAATCGCCTGAAGATTCCGACTGTCTCCATCACGGCGTTGATTTCAGATGACTTGAAGAAGGAGAACGACGTGAGATGATGATGATCAGAATCAGGATTCTGCGGTTTCCTTGTTCGAATTTTAAGCTCTCACCGGAATTGTGGATTGGAAAAGAGATAATAGAGGATCGGAAAAGAGAGAATCCACTCTCCATCATGGCCTCGTCGTTCCCTTTGCTCTTTAATTTTTTGTTTGTTTTTTTTAATAAATCGTGCAATCAAATATCGACACATATGGATCTCTTAAGGGTTCTGAAATCACTTGAATAAGGGACGTCTCTAACTGATAACACACATAAATCATTTTTTAATAATATTTTTAATTTAACAACCTCCTTAATAATTCTTTTAGAAACGCCGATGGGCATGCTCTTATGCTGGAGTAGGACTAGGATGGGTGACCTTTCGGAAAGTGATTTCCAAAATCGTGTAAGTAAGGCCAAAACACGAGGAAATATCATATGGTGATTGCAGGGTCAGTAAATAAGTCGGTTGGGCTCCGAGAAAAATAACGCACCGACCGTTAGACAGAGACGGAACCCACGAGCCCGACAGAGAGATAGATGACTCGCCAGAATAGACGGTCGGGGGCGTTACAAATATAGTAATGTATATCTTACAAACTTGCTAATTAAAAACTTACTACGATACATGCCTGTAGTTAAATATATTAGACCTAACGTTAATTAGAGTTCATGTATATATCTTTCAATGTTCTTTTTTGGTAAATCACTAGCTTATTATGGTTTTAAATTTCAACCACTATCCAACAATTCTATGTATCTGACGATCCATTAGAAATCTGGTAGTGTACTGTTGTCCCGTGCGTGAGTTATAGAAAAATAAGCAATGGAAACTTAATGCGAATAAAAATAAAATCATTACACGCACGCTATTGCTTTTTTAGTGTAATGAAGTTGTCAAAGTAGTTAGAGAGAGTGTTTTGTGTGTGAGAGAGATGCTCTTGAAGACCTTTTTTCCTTTTTTTTCCAACTAATAACAATCAAAGAGAGATGTCATCCCCACACCTTATTCGACATTTTGGTTTAGTGGTTTAACTAACAAAATATTATTTTATTATCTGTTTTGTTTTGAAGACAATATAAGTTTTACTTATCTTGAATTCTTGTTTTACCGCAAATCTCCTTCGTTAACGTATACACGATGAGCACACAATCGCGGAGTTTTGGGGGTGTGCCGTATCCGTCTTCGAATCGATTAAGGTACGTACTTATCGGGAGATGATGCATGATATTTTTTTTAATGCTGTTTAAACATATTTAAACTTTTGAGTAAATCTCTTTAAAACAAAATAAGATGAGCATGATCATTTAATAATTTATATATATCACTATTACTTGTAAGTCGGAAAAGAACTTGAATAATTAACATTTGATATAGCTTCTAAACTATGGCTTTATTATTATTATTATTATTATTATTATTATTATTATTATTATTGTTATTTTTATTATTATTATTATTATTATTATTATTAATAAGAGAGTTGTTTTTTTGTTGGTTAAAGACTTATTAAGAGAGTTGTTTAAGATAACTTTGACTCTAAGCAAAAATGACTAAATATGGACTAACTAATACTCACTCCAAAGCAACAAAATATAAATGGAAGCTAAAAGTGACATTACATCTGTTGATTTTCTATAAATATTTCCTTAACACTAATTGCAAAATACATTACTTTGCTTGTAGTGATATTATTATCTCTCTCTCACATAAACACACACTTACAGATATTTTTTCCTTCAAAATAATATTAAGAATAAATAAATTGACCTATCTTTTTCTCTTTAGTTGACTATTTATTGACCGTATACGACCAAACCAATCAAGAAAACGTAATTCGTTTTATTAAGGATTTTTTTCTTTAGAATTCGGCATGCATCAATTCAATTCAATCGCGTAAAAATTATGTACTATTTCTTTTATGATAAAAGATGAACACATAAATATTCCATTAGATATATATGGGGTTAGTTCCTTATTATATAATGTGAAACGTAAGAATTAGATAATACCGACCACGTCTTTAAATAACAACTTTCATGGTTATATTATGACTTCATCCAAACTAATAAACTTTTATTCGTATCATATATAATATTATATCTCTCTCTCTTCTCTCTACGTTTTTTTGTTTTGTTGGTTAGTATTTATTTGTGGGTAAAGATATGGTAACTATTTTAGCGGTGGTAATTTTGAAAGCCAAAGAAAGCTCTTGAGTAAATGAGAGCCAAAAGTAATCCTCAATGACAATTCTAAGAAAAGTATCAATTTTGAGCACATGCAAATATTCAATCAACTTTTCATAAAGCATAAAGATAAACCAGTTTTTAACGAAAACGAAGCTCAACAATCATAATAATATCAATTTCATAATGACCAAAAATATGTATCAAACAATAAACATCTCAATATGAGGTAGTTATGTGAATTCATTTAAACCAATTATAATTATATTTTATGTTATATAAATCAACCACGATAGTTGAAAGAGGTATAATATCTACACAACAATTTCAAATTTTGAATTATGCTAATTTGCTAATGACTGCACTTAACGCACTAAAACTTTTGAATTCATGTAATTTAATAGCTTAAACTTACCAAAATTATTATAAATTTTCCCTGAAACTCAGCCAAGAGTGAAATATAACGGACTAGAAAAATAGCTTAAATTTTTATTAATTGATACAATATAAGCAAAAACTTACAAAAATTTATGATTGGTTCTACAAATAAACTAATTTAATTATGAACAAAATATTCATGCAAGTAACTTAGTTTTTTTTTCTCTCTCTCTAATGAAGCACAAATAAATTCATTAAAAAAGAGAAATTACGTTATTTTTTTTGTTATTTATAAATGCAAAATGATGGTTATCATCAGAAAGATCTTATTGCACTGTAGAAAGTATAAAGGTTCAGAAACGAAACTCAGTTATACAAATCATAACAACAAAAATTAAGAATAAAACATCCAAACCAAATAGTTAATTAGAATAAAATATTAGTTTAAGGCAAAACGAAGCCTCTAAAGTTGATGTAAACCTCTGAAAAAGCAAAAAAATAATAATATTAAAAAAAAAAAGATATACTAAGAGAGCTCTCACATAACCAAAAAAAGTTTTGAGGAAACCCCAAATCCACAAACCCCACTTGCAATTTCTCTCCCCATCTCCCATCGCTCTCTCTTTCGTTTTCTTCGGCTGTGAAGCAACAGGAACTGCACAAATCCTTGTTTAGCTCATCTTCTATTCCTGGATTTGCACAAAAATCTCTTAAATTTTCGGTTTTTTTGTGTGGAGAAAAGAGACGGAATCTCTCGAATGCAATGTGAGGATCAACGAAGAAGAAGACAAGCAATAGTTTCTGTTTTCTCTGCGAGGCACGATAATGGTGGCTGCGGCAATTTCCAGCACTGACCCGAGAAACCCACCTCGAGATCGACAAGAAAAACCTCAATCCGTCGCCAACAATGGCGGGCAAAGAAGACCCAGAGGCAAACAGGTTCCTTCTCGCTACTTATCTCCTTCTCCTTCTCACTCCGTCTCCTCCAACACCACAACCACCACTACCACTACCACTACCACATCTTCCTCCTCGTCTTCTTCGTCCTCTGCAATACTGAAGACAAGTAAACGATACCCATCGCCTTTACTCTCTCGCCCAACGAATTCCGCTTCCAATTCGATCAAAACGCCGTCGTTGTTACCCAAAAGGTCGCAATCGGTAGACCGTCGCCGACCCTCGGCGGTTCCGGTCACTGTAGGTACCAGTGGCACCGAAATGTCGGCGGCGACTAAGATGCTTATCACTTCCACCAGGAGTTTGTCTGTTTCCTTTCAAGGTGAAGCTTTTTCGCTCCCGATTAGCAAAAAGAAGGAGGCCGCTACGCCTGTTTCTCACCGGAAATCTACCCCGGAGCGGCGGAGATCGACGCCGGTTCGAGATCAGAGGGAGAATTCAAAGCCAGTGGACCAGCATCGCTGGCCCGGAGCTTCTCGGAGGGGAAATTCCGATTCGGTTGTGCCGAATCCGCTTTCTAGAAGCTTAGACTGTGGCAGTGATAGAGGAAAGCTCGGATCTGGGTATGTGGGTAGGTCAATGTTGCACAGTTCGATGATTGATGAGAGTCCTAGGGTTTCTAGTAATGGAAGGCTGAGTTTAGATATGGAAGGTAGGGATGAATATTTGGAAACTGGAGATGAGAGCCAGAGAAGAAGACCAAACAATGGTTTGACGTCTAGCGTTTCCTGTGACTTCAATGCTTCTGATACTGACAGTGTTTCTTCTGGTAGCACCAATGGTGTCCAGGAATGTGGCTCTGGTGTTAATGGTGAAATCTCTAAATCAAGAAGCTTGCCTCGTAATATAATGGCTTCTGCTAGGTTCTGGCAAGAGACTAACAGCCGGCTAAGGCGGCTGCAGGATCCGGGCTCGCCGTTACCCTCTAGCCCGGGCTTGAAAACAAGTAGCATATCATCAAAGTTTGGTCTTTCGAAACGGTTTTCTAGCGATGCTGTTCCTTTATCGTCTCCTCGTGGTATGGCTTCCCCTGTAAGAGGTGCCTCTATTCGCTCTGCTTCACCGAGTAAGCTTTGGGCGACTACTACTTCATCTCCAGCTAGGGCGCTCTCGAGTCCTTCTCGAGCGAGAAATGGAGTTTCTGATCAGATGAACGCTTATCACCGCAACAACTCGCCTTCGATTCTTAGTTTCTCTGCTGATATCAGGAGAGGGAAAATTGGGGAGGACCGTGTTATGGATGCGCATTTGCTGAGGCTTCTGTATAACCGTTATCTGCAGTGGAGGTTTGTCAATGCGAGGGCAGACTCTACTCTAATGGTGCAAAGGTTGAACGCAGAGGTATGGCTTATTGAGTTTTTCATTTCCTTTTCTGGTTAATAGCTTCACAATTATGGGTTTGTGTCCTTTCTGGATTGTACATACTTTTAGCCACTGCTGCAGATTTGTTCATCTATATTTAGTATCTTTATGCGATGAGTGTAAGACCCATTAATGTTTATGGATCCTCATCGTTTAGGCTCATTCTAGGTGCCATTATCTCAGATAAATCATGACTAGATGGAGATTAAGCATGAATGTGCTAACCTTACGGAACTAGAACAGTGGAAGAGTAGTCATTTTTTTCGGAAATATTTCAAGAACATAGTTTATAAGTATAAACTAGCCCTTGTTTCTTGCGATTTCTGGCTTAACATAGAAAGTGAATTAACTTTTGGTCTCTCTTTGCCAGAAAAATCTGTGGAATGCATGGGTATCTATCTCGGAACTGCGCCACAGCGTTACGTTAAAACGGATCAAGTTGCTTTTGCTAAGGCAGAAATTGAAACTAGCTTCTATTCTGAGGGGACAGGTAAGAATGTGAACACTTTTTATGTTTCAACGATTTGTTACTTTAAAAGGGCCAGTGCCCCAATTAAGATTCGATTTCTTTCTATTTTGGAGAAATAAGACACATATTCTGTATGGAATTTGGGTTAGTGATTCCTCCTTGCTGTAACTCGACAATTTTAGAATGGTCATTGTTCCGTAACGTGTTTAGCAAAAGAACTTGGACGCTGAATTAATTACTTTATGTATGGTAGGTAGAAGTCTTATATCTACCAGTAGAAGTTGGTATACTTACTTGCTTAGAATCATCACACAACATTCTGAACCTTTGACAATGAAACATGAGATTTATTTATTTGGGAATGAAAACCATAGCACTAATACATCCCTATCGGTGAAGGCATATAAAAGGAAATAATAGTATGGATGTTGTTTTTGGTATAAGTAATAAATAAACCTGCGTGTGTATTTGTTAAATTGTAGATGGGTTATCTAGAAGAATGGTCTCTTCTGGACAAAGAGCATTCAAGTTCTTTGTCGGGAGCAACCGAAGCCTTGAAAGCCAGCACGCTTCGTCTACCAATTGTTGGAAAAACCGTGGTGAGTACCTCTGTGACATAATGGCCCTGAAATGATCAACTTTAAAAGCTTAGGTTATAGAAAACTAAGAAGCTTGTCGAAATTGTTTAGGTTGATATCCAAGACCTCAAGCATGCTGTTAGTTCAGCTGTCGATGTAATGCAAGCTATGTCATCTTCCATATTCTCGCTTTCCATGAAGGTAGACTTCTCTCTCTCTCTCTCTCTCTCTCTCTCTCTCTCTCTCTCTCTCTCTCTCTCTCTCTCTCTCTCTCTCTCTCAGTGATTAGCTTTACTCGGTTCAAACCTTCATTCTATTACAAAACCCTTGTGTTTTAAGGATTGAGCTTATTTATGACGATGGTGAATGTTATTATCATGGGATAGGTGGATGAAATGAATTCTGTGATGGTTGAAACCGTGAATATAACTGCAAAGGAAAAGGTTTTGCTTGAAAGATGCCAAGGTTTCTTATCCAGAGTAGCAGCTATGCAGGTAGCAAATCTTTTTCTTGTTTTTGGGTTTGGATTTACTCTGGTGATGTCTACTCTTTTGCTGATGTTGATCTGGGGTAAAACGCAAACAAACAGGTTACAGATTGTAGCATGAAGACGCACATAATACAACTAAGTCGGATACCAATCACAAGCAGCTTGACTTCACAACTGTAGAAAGAAAAAACTGATATGATCTTCCTCAAGAGAACAGATTTGTTCTTTATGACTACAACTACTCTCACCAAGAACAGATTTGCTAACACGGGCCTTTTCCTCCCTCGAATCCCGACCTTATCGTTTTCAAACCAAGATTAAGGTGAGATTCGCAGGTTTATTATCATCACCATCATCTCTCTCTTGTTTCTCAGTAGTTCTACGTTTGCTTTTTAATGTAAGATTGCAGGTAATGTCTCTAAAGTAAGTAAGTTTAGTTTTGTATACAAAAAGATTTTCTAATGGCTCTTTGGCTTGTGTATATATAAAGCTGTAGTATGAATCACACTGATTTTGTCTTTTTTTTCTTTAGTTCTAGAACTTGTCGCCGTTTTTAATGTTAATGTTTAAGATGTCATGTCGTTTTAAGTTTCCATCAATCTCAACGTGTTGTTGTCTGTGTTTTGAAAAGCATTGAAGGGAATCTAAACCCTAAAAGCAAGTACAAGTAAAAGAGGACACTCTCAACTTCAAATCCAATTGTTTTTCATTTTGCTTGTTACTCAAAAGACAAAGAAGCAATAGGAGAAAGTGTGACACAGATTTGTACTAAACCACAATCATATATTATTATTAAGTCCAATAAGAAAGCAACCTATCAAGTATTTTGTTATCCAATAAGTAAGTGAAGGACCATTATACAAATTGGAACAAATAACTAAAAAAATAAATGTGTTGGCGCAAATGTGAAAGAGAAAAACACAAAAAGCTTCATCATCCTAATTATAGTTAGTAAGTGAAAAACACCCTTTCTTGACAAGGCTTCTTCGCTACTATTGCACTTTCAGCCTCATCGGCGTTACTATCAAACTCCGGCGACGGATGTTTATTAAGATCTATCCATTCCACAAAACTCTGTTTTCGTTCCGACACGTTTTTTACAACACTCCCATTGCTGGGACTCGACTCCTTGTCTCTGTCATTTTGGACAATGACCTCGTCGTCTCTGCGTCTGCTACCGCCTAGAACGCCTTCGTAGTGACGGCGTTTGTGTCCACCGAGGGCTTGTCCTGTCGGAAACACGATATGACATATAGAACACTTGTGGATTTTCCCAGAGGGTTCCAGCATCTTTTGCCGCGTTTTTCCTCCACCGTCTGCGGTTGCGTTTTCTAGAAGCGGCTGTTGCGGCTTAACGCGGTGGCTAGCCTTGTGACCTCCTAGAGCTTGGTACGAAGCAAACTCTTTTTCGCAGACACTACACTTGTGCGAACCAATCTTCTGCGGTTGCGTTTGCGTCGGCAGTTCAGTACGAGGTTTCGCTTGATGCTGTATATGCGTTTGAGGATGCGTTTGCGGTCGGAAAAGCCGGAGGAGAGTGAGAGCAGCTATTTCGTCTTGAGACGGAGAAGAAGACGAAGGATCTTCATCCCGACCAAGACTAACTAGCCAAGGCTTATATGAGACGGCGTCGTTTGCACACTCGCCGTCTTTGTTTTCGTCTTCCTTATTCCGCCGCAATTCTGAGATTCTGTGTTCCACAGTCCCGGAAGAGGAGGGAGAAGGACCTTCATAACGCCGTCGGCCTGAATGTTCGCTACTTCCCAACCTAAGCTCAATTGAAACGGCGTCGTCGGAACACTCTTCTTCTTCTCGCCGGAATTTTGAAATTCTGTCTTCCACCGTCTCATAAGAAGAGGAAGACGAGTTTTCAACTTCATTAAAACGCCGCCGTATTGACTGTTCACTGCTTCTCGACCTAGACTCAGTCGAAACGGCGTCGTCTGCACACTCTTCTTCTTCTTCTTCTTCATCTTCCACCGTCTCATCAGAAGAAGAAAGAGAAGGAGTTGTTTCATCATAATCAAATCTCTCTCGAATTGACGAATCTTCACTACTTTCAAACCTACGTTCAACCAAAACGGCGTCGTTCGCACACTCTTCTTCTCGCCGTAACTCTAGGGTTCTGTGTGTCACCGTCCTAGAAACGGGAGAAGGATCTTCATCATCCATAGAAGGCTGCTCGCTACGTTGCAACCTAGGCTCAACGCAAACGGTGCCGGTCGCACACTCTTCTTCTTCTTCTGGCCGGACTTCAAGGCGTCTCTGTTTCGAGGAAGGTTCCTCATCATCGAAAGAACACTTTCTTTTTGATCGTTCACAACTTTGCAACACTTGGTTCTTAACGAAAGCCATAGTCTTCTTTATAACGCTCTTGTTCCCTGCTTCTCGCATGAGATATTTCAGTACGATGGACCTAGTACAAGGCGAAGCTTCAATCAGTGTCTTTATCAGACTTATCATAAAGATCCCAAAGTCGTATTATATATAGTAACAGGAAAATCTCTGTGTGGTTTCTTTGTCCTGTCTTAATTCTCACTTATATAGTTTAGGATTGGGATAGTCCTAATCGTAATTGGATAAGGAAAGTGAGCAACTAAAAAGCAATAAATCTTTATAGAATCCCCGAATATTCTAGATTGACTCAATCTGTATCACCTAATTGTAAAATCCAACAGTGACAAAAAGGAAAATTTATTTAAATTTTCCATTTTACGAGTGTGAGAGAGTGAAAGAAGAAACCACACTAAACAATAAGGCTAACCCTAAAAAAAAGACGCGGTTTCTAGTTCGTTTCTTGCAATAACTGGGCTTAGTAGTTGGCCCATTATCAAACATTTTATGGCCCAGTTTAGCGTTCAATAACAAACTGTATTGGTCGACACAACGCTCATTTCCGATCAGTTTGTTACGGAGAGAATTTGAAATTCAAACCTCATTTTCTCCAAATCTACTTCCCACTCTCTCTCTCTCTCTCTCTCTCTAGCATAAACCCTAAAATTCGATTTGTGTTCTTCAGGATGAGTTTAGTACCGTCCGTTGGTCGCGAGCTCTCGAACCCGCCGTCCGATGGGATATCTAACCTCCGGTTTTCAAATAGCAGCGATCATCTACTAGTGTCCTCATGGGATAAGGTTAGAAACCCCTTTCTTCTCTCTGACACTGATTTTTTACTGAAATCCCTTTTTGAGGTCTGATCTGTCGGTTTGATCTGTGATTTGGGTCGAAGAGTGTAAGATTGTATGATGCGAACGCCGATTCGTTGAGAGGCGAGTTCAAGCATGGTGGGCCGGTGCTCGATTGCTGCTTTCACGACGAGTCTTCTGGATTCAGCGTCTGTGGCGATAACAAAGTTAGACGGTCTGTTATTTTTTTTTTCTCAATCTTGATTCGGTGGCTAAGAATGTTTCCAGTAAAGGACATGTGTCAGATTGGTTGCTTAAAAGTTTTTGATTCCTTCTACAGTTTTTCCTCAACTATGATTAGTAATGCCTATGCAAATCTGTGGAAAATGTTTTGTGAATTCTGAACAATTGGAGTTTTTTTTTGGTTTCTCTTGTTATACTTCAGAATTGACTTCAATGCTGGCAAAGAGGACATTCTGGGAATGCATGATAAACCAGTGCGATGTGTTGAGTATTCTTATGCTGCAGGTTAGTGAAGTGGTATTGATGTTCTTGATGCTTAGTTGAGCTCTTACCTTGTTGATAGATACTTGATTTCGTTCGATGTCTACATATAGTCATCCTGTTAACTTAGCGTTGGTGAAAAATGTTAATAGTAACTTATTGTGTTGATGGCATAGACTTTCTTTCAGCATTTTAGGTGCTTGTCGTTGTCCCACAGTATTACCTGAACACTGTGTTTATGTGACGTTATAGGGCAAGTGATCACTGGAAGTTGGGATAAAACGATTAAGTGTTGGGACCCAAGAGCTGCAAGTGGACCGGAAGGCACGCAGATTGGAACATATCAGCAGCCTGAGCGTGTCAACTCCCTTTCTCTCGTTGGGAATCGTTTGGTAGTGGCAACAGCAGGAAGGCATGTCAACATTTATGATCTCAGAAATATGTCTCAGCCTGAGCAAAGAAGGGAGTCCTCACTCAAGTACCAGACCAGATGTGTGCGTTGTTATCCCAATGGAACAGGTTAAATGGCTGACATGTTGCTTTCAGTGGGTTTTTACAAACAGTCGAAAGTTGCTATCTTCCTGTTCCATGTTTACTCAGTTTCCACTTCCACACTTTTGATTTTTCTATATATATACTTTGCAGGATATGCACTTAGCTCTGTTGAAGGGAGGGTGTCTATGGAGTTTTTTGATCTGTCAGAGGCTGCTCAAGCTAAAAAGTATGTCCCGAACTGTTTTCCTGTTACCTTTTTATATGAGGAAATTACCTTTTTAAAATCTGATAGTTATATTTCAACCTCTTTTCAGATATGCTTTCAAATGTCACCGGAAATCGGAGGATGGAAGGGACATTGTCTACCCTGTAAACGCGATTGCCTTCCATCCGATGTAAGTCTTCATCTTAGAAGGGATCTGGACTTAACTATCTTTTCACAGAAATGAGTTAGAAAATTTACAGTTTATTAAATACAGGAGGGGGCAGAACTTTGTTACTTAAAAAAGCGAAATTGGCAATCTAGTGCTGAATAGAACAGCTAACTGTGTAATTTCTGGTTTGAAACATATCCATGGAGGAATATTATAGACTCTAGAGTATTGTGGATGCTATATTTTCCTTTGCAAGCAAATTCTGTAAATGTTTGTTCTTGGATGCACTATTTACATGGAACCTAAGTGGAAAAAAGTTGAAACTTTTAAGTTAGATCTGTCCCATTAGAGCAGCAACTCATTCGCTTCTAATAACCAAACGGTTTTAAAATTGTAGTTATGGCACTTTTGCTACCGGAGGTTGTGATGGATTTGTCAACATTTGGGATGGCAACAACAAGAAGAGGCTATATCAGGTTTTAGCAATGACAAGAGCTTTTGATATATATATATTTCTTTCAGTGTTCTTATGGTAAGTGATACACATGATTAATCGCTAATTTATTTCATATTTGGTAGTACTCTAAGTATCCAACGAGTATCGCGGCGCTGTCATTCAGCCGAGATGGTGGATTACTGGCTGTTGCTTCTAGTTACACGTTTGAAGAGGGAGACAAACCGTAAGACTCTCACTCTCTTTATTGCTATATAGAAACACCCATACCGTGTAGCATTCTAGAGATACTATTGTGTGTTGCTTTTGGGTTGATCTCTCTTTTAACCGATCCCTGAGTGTTGGGTTTTTTGCAGGCATGAACCGGACGCAATCTTTGTTCGAAGTGTTAATGAAATCGAAGTGAAACCGAAGCCTAAAGCATACCCAAATCCTCCGGTATAGCCAGGAACGATAGAATGAGCAGAGTTATTTCGACTTGGTGTTGGATTGGTTGCGCAAACAAGATTGTAGCATTTTGGTGTTTTGTGTGTTAAAAACTTATTTTGGTTGTAAAGAGATGTGTGAACGATACAATGGCTTTAGAATCTGAGATTGTGTTCCTTTGGTTTTGAGTAATGTCCATTTACTCTGGTGGTAGAAAACTCTTCCTCTTTTTGTTTTGAGTTTGATTAGAACCAAACATATATCGAATCAGTTTTACGATTGTTTAGTTAAATCTGTTTTGTATATACTATTATACATCATCATTAAGAAAAAGGTAAGATACTTCTTTAGTAGGGCACATATATGTACATGAAAATTCCTAGAACTTGATTGAAATTTTTGAAAGTTTACAGATCAAACAAAGAGAAGGATGTAAAACCGCAAGGAAACAAGTAGTTATGTGATCCTGTAATAGACACATTACTTCTTACAACTAAAAAGGGTTCCCAAGTAGAGAATCATCAACACACACACGACTTCTAAGTTTCTCTCTCTCTCTCTCTACCCACCTGCACCACATTTAGCTTCTCCTTCTTCTTCTCTCTCCATCACCTTAAGAACGGATCATCTGCAGTATCACATTTTCAACACAACCATTTTGAGATTTTAAAAGTCTTTCTTTGTCATAGATTTCATGTGTTGTGGTGATAAAAAAAGAAGTGTTTTTACCATTTTGCAGCTGTTTCTTCCTTTCAATGTCTTCGTAGCTTCTTCAGCGAAAGCCTGAGCTGCTTCTGCTTTAACTTCTGCTGCCTCTGCATCTTTTGCAGCTTCTTCAGCCTCAACCATCGCAGCTTCTGCCTCTGCGACTGCCTGTGCTGCAACCGCTGCAGCCTCCTGTACATTCATAGTCTTCATTCTTGCTAACTCTGCATCAATCTGTGCCTTCGTCTGAATACTCACTTCATCTCTGTCTGTTCTAGGTGAAGGCAAAGAAAGAACACTCTGTTTTCCGGAAGATGTCCCCAAGTGTCTTTTCCTGTGGGAAGACGAGGGAGTAGAGTTTGAAATTCTGTACTTGCGTTTAACCTGTAAAAAGAGAAAAAAAAACCAAATCAATAACACCTCCCAAGTCGCAGTAATGAAGCATGTCCCAGTACTACAAACAACCATGAAGCTAGTTGATTGCGCAAAGACTACAAGTTATAATTGAATGAATCAAATCTCACCTTCACAAGTTTGCCACAAGCTGTCAAGTACTTAAGCTTGGTAGACAACAGCCGTTTAAAGTCTGGCGGAGCGTGATATTGTTCCTATACAACCAAATAAGAATGTCCTTGGCATGTTAACGAAAGAAATTACAGAAATTCTATTGAATAAAGGAAGTAAGAGTTAAGACTACATACCTCAATGTAGGCACCAATTGTTGTTTTATTAGAGCCACCAGGCTCTTTGATGGTACCTATTGCCTCCATTATAAGGCTATCCAGCCTGCAACATTTTTCAAAGTTACAAACTGTCTAATAGACAATAGAATCAAATGATATAAACATCTATGCATAAGTGGTACTTCATACACCTAAACCCTCATCGCAATTTCACAATTACAAAGCCACAGCAATAAGATGGAGCTAAGAACTCATGTGCTAACATACATAATCAGCATCTGGAGAATCATACAAAAGGATATATCAAAGGGGAGGATAGATATACTAAACCAATGAAGACAGTTTAAACAAAGATTCCAAAAGACGTGAAAAGAGAGACACATATCATATAAATGTGATGTAAAGCACTATTGATTCACATCTAACAAAATTGATGGCAAAGCCTAGATTTTGAGATGTATGATGTATCCAACAATGCATGTTATAAACTTCAGAAATACCCATCTGGAGATATGCAACAGAGCATATCCTCTTAGATAAAAGAGAAGAATATCTCTGACCTTACATTAGGTCTCCTTGGAGCAGGAGTAGTAGGAACTTGCAGTGCAGAAGAGCCAGTAGTAGAATAATGCTTGGCATCCACCATTTCTTCATCACTTTGCAATGAGTTGGTATTCGCAAGTGAGTTATCTTCCTGTTTAGGATGAGAGTACGACCTTTTAATAGCTAACCTAGACTTTTCACGCGATCCCCACCCATTCGCCATGACACTCATATTTCTCCATTTGTCCTGTCCCAATTCAACGAACAAACCCAATCTAAATCAGATAAAAGCTCATGATCACAAACAAAAACACAGCTTTATCATAGAGAGTTGACACAAAAGGAAGGATAAGAAAGGATCACGACCTTCAGATCAACATTGGAACGCAGGTACAGGACTCCACTAAACTCAGGGTCTTTGAGAATTGTGCGCCATTTACCAGGACCATGCTTGACAACGCCAGACTTTAGAGCTGATTCTTCTTCTTGAGTCCATTTCTGCTTAGGAGCACCCATCACGACTTCGAAACGCAGATACACTCTGCTGTGTCAAAGTTAAGTCCGTTCTGCAACAAAAACAAATCATACTTCACGAAACCAAAACAAAACAAGAATCTGATCAGAAAAAAATGTCTTTATCGGATCCTTTGTTCTCAGTTTGCTAGAAACAAGCTTGCTCAAAAGAAAAAGAACAAATTTTTTAAAAATTCTTTCTTCCATTGTAACCCCCAATTCCCTCGCTTTACGCAACCATAGCGAACAGTTAACCTAATGCCACAGAATCTCTAATTGCAGTAAAACCCTAATTCCATGTTCCGCGGAAACCCTAACAGGTAGATGTCGAACCCTAACAGCAGTAATTCATAACATTTCCTACTTTTTCAATGGAAAATTCAACAGAAGATCCCGATATGTCCCTTTGCGTTGCAATTTTGGTTTTGAGAAAGTAGATGATAGCAAAACCCTAGAAAAAGAAATCTTCTTTCAGATTGAAACCCAATCACATGCTGATAATATAACAGTCGACAAAAGAAGTAGATGGATTCACCAGGATTATCGGATTTTTGAGAGAAATTTGATCTTCGCGATACAAATTCCGATTTTTCTTGGTAGAAATTTTCGTCAGATTCGAAAGGGCTTCCCTTTGAAATAAAATTAGGGTTAAAGAGAACACACAAATTAGATTAACGGACCTCCGTCCATTCTGTCAAGCCAAACCGCTTAGACCAATTAACCTTAAACCGCTGATTTAAAACGACCTTTAAACGCGTTTCTCAACTATCTTCTGAAATTAATTTGTCAATCGTCTAAATAATTTACAAACTAAAATTTATTATGATAAAAAGAAAAAATCATGGTATATAATTACGAAACAAATATCTAAAAATGACACTCTTGTTGAATATTATTATGATTGTCACTCAATTAGAGAACTATTTATCAAACCTAAAACTTGTTCAGTCATATTTACACTAGTATTTTGGGTTTATTTGTAGAATTACATTTTATTTGGACAAATAAAAAAGAATGTAAGAGTGTAGAGGTATTTAAGCATATATTACAAAATTTTGCTAGATGTATATGATTCAAAATGTTTGTGGTGGAGGTGGTAGCTGCGATATTTGTTTCCCAAGAATATATACTTTTCATATTATTCACACTATTTTCTATTGTTTATTTTGAGGACTTTCTCTTTAATTTTGTGAAAATTATATATTTTTTGTCTGTAACAATGAATTACATAGTTGACTAACTCTAAAAGAGATTATTTCACGTAAATAACAAATGGAAAGTTTTGCAAATTTACCACACATGGTTTAAAACATTAAAAAAAAGTTGTACACTTTAATTTTTTTTTTTTTAATGTGTGGAAAATTTGAGAAGTAATATCATAAATATAGTTTTTTAGAAATATATTTTATTTGATCTTATCAAGATTTGTCCTTTTTTCGGAAGTTCGATGTTATCTTTGAATAAGATTTTTCAAACAAAAAAAGACAAATCTTCTTATTCAAAAATTCAGTAAAAGACAAAAAAATCCGTTTTCACTATTTGTGCTGGTATCTTTCTGATTTTTAGAATTGAAAACCTAATATATATTTGCAAATAAGTTAACAATTAATCCACAAAAATGTAACAATATACAAGATAAGAAATGGCAGATAAGCTAAAGCAATTAATTCCATACGAACGAACTAAAGTTTTTCAAATTTTCAAATTAATATTTTTCCATAAAAATCGTCATGGTAGATGATAAGATATTTATGTAAATGTGAAAATACATACTAGTTGTAATAATTTAATTAACAACCGTAATTTTTTCTTTTTGAAACTGAATATCTTTAAAATATTTATTCCAAAAATATCATAGACTCATAGTTCCCTATAGCAAACTCATATAGAAAACATCTTAAAATATTTCTTGTTTTTTATACTGATCCTGTTATTAAGAATTTTGGCAAAACCAAGCCAACAATAAGTCATACCAATTAGTCAAAAATTATACGTTACAATTAATAGGCAAAACAAAGAAAAAGCAATGTTTAAATGGTGGATGGAGTTGGTTGTATACTTTTTTGGCATTAAGATGAGAATAGTTTGCTGCTTAAAAATATTTTACTGGACTTTGTAAAATTAGACATCATATTCCTGACATAACTAGACAAAGTCAAGTCAAACCAGTGCTTTAATCCGGTTCATTATTCAATATATCTTGCATTAGTGTTAATTACGTGCACGTGAACACAAGATAAAAGAAGAAAAAAGCAAGAAAGAGTCAACAAGGTTGCCCGCCTAACGTAACGCTTAACACCTTTGGAACCATTTTAAGCAAAACCTTTCACCTTATAACTCTCACAAAGAGAGTAGACATTCTCGAAAAAGGCTAAAGAACGAAAGATAAGTAGCCGAGAGTTATGGTGATAAAAACAGATGATTTTGCGCCATTTCCAATTAGAGATCAGCTTCCAGGAGTCGAATATTGTGTATCCAGCTCCCCAAATTGGCGTACGCATCTTTCTTTTCATTTAGTTTTGGTTACTTGTATGTTATTTTTTCACTATTATATTAGCAGTGAAATTATGTTTAATGTTTAGTAGAATGAATCCATCATGTGTTATAAGTTATAACAATGAAGTCATCAACCTACAAAACTAACTTGTTAGCATTTTGTGATTATCTAGCTATAATTTGTTAAGCTCAAGTGTTTATCATTCTGATAAAGTTTTATTTATATATTTATCAACAATAATGAATGATGCAGCTGAAGGCATAGTTCAAGGGTTTCAACATTACATTGTAATGCTTGGAACTACTGTAATAATACCTTCTATACTCGTTCCTCTCATGGGTGGTGGCGACGTAAGCATTATTAAACATTAATTCTTATTCTAATTCTTTTGTTAAAAAAAAACAGAGGAAAATTGAGTAAAAAATGACGTCATTTTCAGGTGGAGAAAGCAGAAGTGATAAACACAGTATTGTTCGTGTCCGGTATAAACACGTTGTTGCAAAGTTTGTTCGGAAGTCGACTTCCCGTCGTCATCGGAGCTTCTTATGCTTACGTCATCCCTGCTCTTTACATCACTTTCTCTTACAGATTCACTTACTATCTCCATCCTCACCTGGTTAATTAAACTACAACCCATTTTCCTTCTTCTTTGAAGAAATTTAAAATATGAAAAGTACTAAAAGTTAATGGGTTAATACAGAGATTTGAAGAGACAATGAGAGCAATCCAAGGAGCTCTAATCATTGCTTCTATATCTCATATGATAATGGGTTTCTTTGGCTTGTGGAGAGTCTTGGTCAGGTTAGGAGAAAAAGACTAGAATATTTACTTGTGAAACAAGTAATTCAAAACCCTAAATCTTTGCTTTATTTTGTTAGGTTTCTTACTCCTCTTTCCGCTGCTCCTCTTGTGATTCTCACCGGAGTTGGCCTCGTCGTGTTCGCGTTTCCTCAGGTAAATATGATTCAAGATTAACCGCTAGAAACATCGAATCGGTTTAGAGGACTATGCTCATGTTTCTTTTGCAGCTTGCGAGATGTATAGAAATCGGACTCCCAGCGTTGATCATAGTCATAATTTTATCTCAGGTTCCGGTTAATTTTCGTTAGATTTCGGTACAAAACATGTCGATACTGAATCTCTGACAATGTTTGTGTGCACTAAACTTTTCCAGTATCTTCCTCGCTTGTTCAAGTGTAAGAGATCGATATGCGAGCAATTCGCTGTTCTGTTCACCGTAGCGATCGTCTGGGCTTATGCAGAGATTCTGACAGCAGCCGGAGCTTACGATAATAGACCCGACAATACACAGCTCAGTTGTCGAACGGACCGGTCAGGTCTCATTAGTGCTTCACCATGGTCTGATCATCTTTCATCGGATCTCCTCTGTTTTTCAGGATTATAACAGATGTTTCCCTGACTGTTTTTTTTTTTTTTTTTTTCATTCATTCTTAGGGTGAAAATTCCATACCCATTGCAATGGGGACGTCCAAGTTTTCATGCAAGCGATGCATTCGCAATGATGGCAGCTTCTTACGTGGCGATTGTCGAGGTTTCGTTACGATTTCAGTTCAAATATTTGGTTTACAGAAGGATCTTGTCTATATATGAAAAGCTCACGTTTTGTCTTTCTTCAATGGAGTAGACGACGGGTTCTTTAATCGCCGCTTCAAGATTTGGTAGCGCCACTCATATCCCTCCCTCGGTGCTTAGCCGTGGCATCGGATGGCAGGTAAAACGGATTGTTATATCATCTGATTTCAAGAAGGTTAGTATATGTGAAACCAATTTGTTTGTGCTTTGTGGAAATTGAAAAAAAAAAAAAAATCAGGGCATTGGCGTTTTGCTGGATGGACTGTTTGGAACAGGAACCGGTTCCACAGCTTTGGTGTAATGGAATCATTCACTTCTTGTTCTGCGGTTTTCTTGAAGCAAGAAAGATCTGAAAACTCTGTTTTTTTGTTTGTTCTTGTCTTTTGTAGTGAAAATACAGGGCTTCTTGGGCTAACAAAGGTTGGGAGCAGAAGAGTGGTTCAGATATCTGCTGTTTTCATGATCTTCTTCTCCATTTTCGGTATTACTCAAAACCCATGAAACCACCTTGGATACAATCGTTCTTTGTTTGTAATTGACTACTAAACTTGGTGGAAATACAGGGAAGTTTGGGGCTGTTCTTGCATCAATACCATTACCGATATTCGCAGCACTGTACTGTGTTCTATTCGCCTATGTCGGTATGTATATATCTCAAGAAGTAGACTCGTTTCAGCTACTTTTAGGTTTATACAAATGTGATTGAGATCAAGAAGAGAAAACCCTGTGAACAGCTTCTGCAGGGCTTGGCCTTCTTCAGTTCTGCAACTTAAACAGCTTCAGGACTAAATTCATCCTCGGCTTCTCCATCTTCATCGGTCTCTCAGTCGCACAATACTTCACCGAATATCTATTTGTCTCTGGCCGTGGACCAGTTCACACTCGTACTTCTGCTGTAAGTGTCCAAGCAAAAACAGAAAACCTTTTACATCATCAGTTTATGTTCTGTTGTTGTCTTGTGTACTGATTCGTTTTTTTTTTCATGGTATTGCCATCGAACGAAGTTCAATGTGATAATGCAAGTGATATTCTCTTCCGCTGCAACGGTTGGGATAATGGCGGCGTTTTTGTTGGACTGTACTCATAGCTATGGGCACGACTCGGTGAGGAGAGACAGTGGAAGACATTGGTGGGAGAAATTCAGAGTATACCAAACTGATACTCGAACCGAAGAGTTTTACGCATTGCCTTATAACCTAAACCGATTCTTCCCTTCTTTCTGAAAACCGGAACGAAACTCAGTTTTTTTTTTCAGTGTGAGAAACTTGCATCTTAGAGAGTATGTACTATGTACCACAAAACAAGCTTTCACCTAGAAAACTTCTTGTATGTTACTTCTTCTTTTTGCCAACACTTTTGTAATGTTAATACTACATGTCTTTGCTTATAGAATGTAACAGCTACATATTCCAGAGTGACTAGGCAAATTGAGTTTTTTTTTTCTGGTGAACTGATCATCTTAGTCCGGCTGGAGATGTTGGACTGCCTCCTCCAGGTCTTCCCATGGCTCTCTGGGCAAGAGTCCCATCGTAATCCTAAACGCAAAACGTGTTTTCCATCTTAGCATGAATGAAGCTAACACAAAGATAAACTTGGTTTTGGGTGAATATAAAGGTATAATCTGAAAGTTACCCGTTTCTCGAAGGAACTATCCTGCGAGTCAGCTATCTTGTCTGCGATTCCATAGTCAATGGCTGCTTGTGCTTGGAGATATTTAGGCCGCTTGATGTCCTCGTTGATCTGCTCTATGGATTTACCTGTTCCCTTAGCTAACAGCTCGATGTAGTACTCAGTATTTGCATCAAGTTCCTTGGCCTGCCAGAGGAATAATCATTACAGTACAAGCGAAGAAGTTTCAGGGGATTGCATAAAAGGGTACAAAAGAATGAGAGGACCACCTTTATCCACATGTCTATGGCAGCTCCGCTAGATCTGTTTACTTTTGGCAGATATAATTTTGCTGCACCATAAAACCATCAAAAACTTAGAAGCTTTCCACATGTGGGCACGAGGGTATATCATGATCTAAATGCAAGGTCGAAGTACAAATGTTCGAGAGAAGAGAACCCATACTTGATGAATGTGGCTGTACAGCACGATAACCCTTTTTCCCAAGAGACAGAAGCATTGCTGCTTGACCAAAAGCCATGCCACAGTTGATAGTGTATACATCTGACTTGCAATACTTTTAAGCCACACAGAAAAGTTAGAAACAATGAGGTTATACCGAAAGATATATCAGTTAAAGAAACTTCGTGGCTGGACATGTGAAGCAGGAGTTGACTTACAGAAATGGTGTCAGCTATGGCATAAGCCTCTGTTTCTGACCCAACAGTCTCCATCTTCTCATTCTACATAGCATTTAGCAAAAGGAAATATCTGATTACATATCCCGTTAAAGGTAACAAGCAGGTTGCCCAAATAATTGCATTAACAAACTTCTTGAACTGACCTGAGTCCCGGGTGAATTTATGTATAGGTAGATGGGCTTTGCTGGGTTATCATAGTCTAACCACATGAATTGAGCAACGAGTAACTCAGTAACTGCAGGTACGATCTGCAAGTAAAATATAGCAAAAGGAACAAGATCAAAGCCTAAAGAGAGAGAGAGGAAACATAGTAGCAAAAAGATAGGTTTAATACTAAGTTATCAACACATGAAAGTCTTACCGGCATGCCAAGGTAGCATATCCGAGCATCCAAGAGCAAAGAAGGCAAATCCGGAGGAGCAGTTCTTGGTCTTTCAGATCCTCCGCCGCCTCCACCTCTGTACATTTGGACACTCATGCTGTATCTTCTAGGATCCGCTACATTCATACCAGACATACTCCATATCCCTCCGTTGTCTAAATAGTTTCTTCTAGACGAGATGCTTTCCTGTTAACAAAGAAGCACGCCAAAAGACAAGATAAGCTTCATATATTTCTTCTCAGCTGTTTCCAGATTCCAGAACTGTGAATGGACTGATAAGAAGGATCAAAAGAGAAAAGTAACCTCTGTAACTTTTTCCGATTGCCTACGGACAGGGCTGTCCTCTGTCATGAACATATCCATTTGAGCTGGATTAAGCCCGTAAAAATATTGCGGTACATTCTTGAAGTTCTGCATCACTATAAAATAATAGCAAAGGAACATAGAATATCAGATCAAATAGAATTTAGAGACTGAGATATATTCTTCACTTTTTGACCCCTTGTTTAACGAATTTAGTTCTCTTACGCAAAATTTTCATTCCAACCGAGAATTGCAGCAATCATACTAATATATTTCACCATTTCATTACACAGACAACAACTTATAAAAGTCAAAAGGCTTTCACTTTGTTAATATTCAATCCGAAAGAAATAATCTTTGCTATATCGCTTTTCCTAATTCGAAGGTAAATGGGTCAGCGAGGTCTTATCAGTTCCAGATTTTATAATAAGGTACTTCGTGTAAGCTATTCAGAGGGAAAATACAAAACTTTGTGACCCAATTCATCAACAGATACAGTTAAAGAACGGATAAGGTAGAGAGACCTAAGAGCAACTCTATCCGAAGGAGAACAAAAGAAAAAAGCTGAGGGAGAAGGGAAAAAACCTCCATCTTTGAGATTATCTCCTCGAAATTGTTTTGGGATGTGGTCAAAGCTCATATCTTTAGCAGAAGCGAAGCAGTGTGATCTTCTTGTGCGTCGAGGAACAGTAGAGCAAGGCATGTTCGAGGAGAAGAGCTTAGATCCGGACATGAACGGTGACTTGGGAAGCACAAACTTGGAACAGACAGCTTCATGGTTGAGCTGTGAAGTAAGAGGAGAGACAATCGAAGACGCCATCTCCGATTAAGAAACCGATGAAGAAGGAGAAGAAGATGATTGAAAGTTGAAACGAAGAATGGTTTATTTTGGGATTTTTGAGGCGAGATTAGGGATTGCTTGTCATTTTTGCTGTCGTCAGATGAAGAAGATGTAAGTAAACGAAGTACAGTCAAAACCTCCACCAAACCGGAATTGGTTTTGGTTTTTGATACCGGTACGGATCAATCAGAGTCTATTAAACCGGTTCCATCTCTTCAATTTTATTTCTATCTGGGTTTCATATCTATTTTAAATAGATGAGGGCTTTAACTTGTAAAATGATATGATGAGGGACAACTATTTTACTTTTACTCGTAAGAAGTTTTCTGCTTTCGAATATTTGTCTGGGTTTCATACCTATTTTCCATAGATCAGGGTGTTTAACTTGTAAGACTACATAGTTAGGGGCTTTTCTAAAAATTCTAAAAAGTTGTTTGCTTCTTTGTAATGTAGATAAGATTACTTAAAAAAAAATCTTATCCTTTCTCTGGTGAAGAAGAGAAAGATGAGTTCCGTTGGCCAAAGCATTCTCATGGCATTAACAGTAACTGTTAACAAATACGCTTCCTCCAATGTTCAAGCGGTACGCAGGAACGAAACCAAACGCGATTGTTTAACCGCTTCAACCACTGATTTAGGACGCAGAAACATCCTCTTCTCTTCCTCTTCCTTCATCGCCGCCGCTTTGACCACCAGCGATCAGCTTCTCCAGAGTAATTGAAAATGCTTAATCGTTTTTTTTTCATTCCGATTGTTTCTTGTCCCTAAGTTACGTCTTTTTTGGGGGGATGAATTGTATCAGAGTATTTGAAGAAGACTGAGGAAAACAAAACCAAGAACGATAAAGAGGTAAAGAACATCGAACTTATCAAATCCCCTTTTTGTTAGCTTTTATCTCATGATTTCTTGATATTGTTGGCGCAATTAAACAGAGATTGGACAGTTATTACAAGAGGAATTATAAAGACTACTTTGAGTTTGTGGAAGGATCTATAAAGGGAAAGACAGAAGCAGAGCTCACCGAGTCTGAGAAACGGATTCTTGAGTGGCTCAAGTCCAACAAATGATGATGATGATGAAAAGTTTTTTTCGTGTCTATGAAACTTTAAAAAACTGTTCAGTAATTTATAAATATTATTTCATATGGTTTTCGAATCTGTTTCTTCCCAAAAATACCCTAATTTAGAGAAGCGAAGGAGCACCACTGCACCAGAATCCAAGCTGAAGTTTGTGGACGCAATGACCGAGTCAAGCTGAAGCTCGTTGTCTCCATGGAAGAGAGAGGTTTCGAAAGAATCTAAACGTCTATAAGGATGTGCTTAAACCGTCCCTTTCACGGATAAGAGCTTATCTACCAAATCTACAGTTGCCAAGTTCTTGAAACCGTCATCGGCCAGACACATTTTGTAGCCTCCTTATGGTTTCCGAGCCGACCAGATCATAATGCCTTTCACTTGTGGGTGTGAGTGTGCTTCTCTCAGTACACAAGACCAAGCATTAGATGGTTTCTTGTATCTCACGTCATCCTTCTTATGTGGTTTCTAAGTAAAGCTTTTCTTTTCCCTGATAACCTCCTCTTTGAACATCACTCTCGGAAAGCCATATTTGTCAAGTATGGACCTCGTGTAAGGAAGATTAACTAGAGTGGACCAATGTCCATCTAAACTAATCTCTGGTGGAATTCTTTGGTTAAACCACTGAATCATTTTCATCTAACTCTAAGTACTTATCCGGCGTGGTTTTTGAGTCTCGCTTCCATTGTCTTGTACTAGCTCATAAACAGAATTGGCGAAGGATCTGTCTCGTGTGCCATGTTATAGATTTCGGAGGACTAGTCTTGCTCTCAGGACTCAAATGAGTAGAAATGCAAATTTTCATTCACGACGTCCCAATGTATAACTTGACCTTTGTACATTGTCATTACCGATTGAGACGCTTAGTGTCCGCCGTTACAAGATCGATCATTCGAGGATAGAGAATTAACCTAACCGGGCTGGTACGTAGAGTCGTCCCAAAGAACGTTGTGGCCTCGAGCGCTTATGATCCCATGCTCGTTACAGAGCTTAACTATCACGTCAACTATCTCATAAGTCTCTTTTGATTTCCTTGGCTACTTTCTCAAAGCCTTGCCAAGAAAGTTATAGGTGATACAAGAATTTAAGAGAGCGATTACAAATACACTGCTTTGTTTATAAGATCACTTGATGTGGGTGTGATGAGTGTGCTTCTCTCTCAGTACACAAGACCAATCATTAGATGGTTTCTTGTATCTCACGTAATCGTTCTTATGTGAGAGCTCTTACAACAGATTGATTTATACCATTAGGACCCCCATGGAAAGTTCACAAGTGGGGAACAAGAAGAAAACTATATACTAAAGATGTAACGAGGCAAGGGGCTTATTTCGGTGAAAACATCCACGTATATTGTATCCGTGTTCGACGCATAATCGGAGGCAAATTCCTAAACATGAACGTCCAATGTAAATAAAAGTTTTTTTTGTTGAGCCTACTCTATTTTTTTGTTGTCACAGACTCGCATGTCTCTGCCTCTTCTCACTGAAACTTCATATCCGTCAGTCTTGTTAGGATTATTGGAAAGGAAATGTCAAATTCCAAGCCAAAGAAACAGAAACCAGATCAAAAGGAAGGTAGCAAACACATCCCAATACACACATTCTTCGCAAGGAACAATCTAAACTCGTAAGCCTTGTTCATGTTATCGTCCATAGTTGACCTTTCCTTCTTACCGCTAGATAATGTCACAGGACTTGACAGTTTTGTATGCTCGATTTGTTAGTAAAACAAGATTCTCTATATGCATTTTCTGGCCTCCTTTTTTCTGTAATGGTTTTAGTTCGTTACACTTGTTTTATTGTGACTTTTTGAGTAAGCTCGTCGTTTGTTTAATCACACGGCAGAGAAGTCTTGTTTTGAATTAAGAACTTTTAAAAATGTAAACTAAAAAGTTTGAAATTTTTAAATCTTATGTTTTTTAAAGGTTTCAGATTGCTTTTCAAGTTATCGAGGTCTCCTATTTATAAATTTAGGAAGTCGGTTTTAGACGGTTAGAAAAAAAGAAAGAAACTACGTAATCACATGTAGTAAGTTTCGAAAGACTAAACCACCGACGGAAAAAAAAAGAAAATACAAAATAAAAACATGAGAATCATAAAAAATTATTTCGAAGAAGGTTAATAAAAAATATCAGACTCTTACCAAGTTAAAATATAAAATCTGGTGTTAACATTACATGATCTTCGCAAATTGACAGGCGAGATAACCTCCTTAGTTGACTAACAAGTCAAAAACGTACCAAAAATCAGTAAATCATATAACATCATGGACAGTTTTTGGGCAAGAGAACGTTGTAGTGCAATCGTTTATGTAGCTAGTACGGTTTAAGTCGATAAGTTTAAGTTCACAAACTGATTTTTGTCATTTTAAAAATATTTATAAGTCGATGTTTTCTTTTAGGTTTTACAGATCCAATTTAAAAAATTGATATGATAATTTAAAACATCTAAAAAATATAAAGAGATAATATCTTATTTATATATTACACTATATATAAATATATATACATATCGTATTAGACAATTATATATATATATATATATAAAGAGATAATATATTATTTAGATATCTATAAATTAAATTGTATAACTAATTTATATGATAATAATATTATATAAAAGAAATATATACATACATATCATATTATAGATACATATATATAAGTTAGATATATATATATATATCATCTTATAAATGCATATATTATATTTTAGAAATATATAATAACAACCAATTTCTCTCCTCTTTATGTTTATGTCACAACAGAATTATGAAATAGTTGAAACAATTACTTTATCTACCTCACGCAAAACAAATAGCAAAACTTGTAATATTTATTATGAAACCAATTTTGATAGATACCCTTTGTTAATTCCTTTTTTTAACATATTTTGTTCATATCCATCTCTTAGTTTTTTTCCCAAACATGGTCATCAACCAAATTCACCCAAAAAAACGTTTATTGGACTTTTACATCAGCCCATTTGTAAGATATTAATGCCACCAAAAAACGTTTATTGGGTTACTGTCTCCGTTCGGTTCGATTCGGTTCAGATATGAACCGGGCAGGGTTTTTCTCCCACGCCTTCCAGAATCATTTCGGCGACCAAACTGTTTCTCTTTCTCGAGAAGGCTTCGAAGAGAAGGAGACTATAGAGTATGGATGATGGCGAATCATCGACCAATAATTCCTCGCGCCCATGGGAATTCTACAACACCGTCTTCACCAACGCCAAAGCGGGTCTGCTTCCAATTTTCTTTTCAGTGTTTGCGGATTCTCTTCGCGACTTGTTTCTCCTTGAGTAGGATTCACTCCGAAAATTCTTGAATGTGTGGGTTATTATATATTGGTCTTAGAACATTTTTGTTCATCTGCTTTGGTTTTAGATGAAGATCTCAATTTTGGTAATTTGCGGAATATCAAATTCTTAAATTTACATTTTTACTTATCGGGTGATGATGTTCCATGGTAAGCTTCATGAGAATCATTGATGTGCGCTGTGTATATTCGGTAGGAATGGAGGGAGTTGATAAGGAGAAAGTCCAGAGGATTGTGTATGAAATGAGTAAAGGATCCAAATATTTTCAAAACGAGGAACGTAAGGAAGCTCTTATGAAACAAAAGATAGAGCATATGCGTGATAGGTGTTCAAAGCTCTCTCCCTCTGATTTATCTAATTATCAGAAGGTATGTGCCACTTTTTCTGAATAAACTTCTTCATCTTCTTTACACTCTTGGCTATAATAAGTAATACTGGATTTGGTATCTTTTGTTTTTACTCTGTTAGCTGTAACTTTTTTTCCATTTGAAGGTGGTTGATAGAAGGATCTTGGAGCTTGAAGCCACACGCGACCTATCCAGAATTTGGCTGCATGTTGATATGGATGCCTTTTATGCTGCTGTTGAAACTTTGAGCAATCCTTCGCTCGAGGGAAAGCCGATGGCCGTTGGAGGCTTGTCAATGATCTCCACAGCTAATTACGAGGTATGCTTTGGTTTTCATCTGTTGGATAAACAATATATTGTAGCTGGAACTTATGGTTGCAACTTGTAATCGTTGTTAAAGCTTCTGCCATCTCCTTTTAGGCAAGGAAGTTTGGGGTCCGTGCAGCAATGCCTGGCTTCATTGCTCGCAAACTGTGTCCAGATTTGATATTTGTTCCTGTAGATTTCACCAAGTATACTCACTACAGTGATTTAACAAGAAAGGGTTTGTTGTTCCTCTTTCAACTTGTGGTAGCTTTATATTTGCCGTTCTCGTTTCTTGGTTTCTCGGTGCTTACTTGCGTATATGTGTTTCATGTAGTTTTTAAGAACTATGACCCTCACTTCATAGCTGGGAGCTTGGATGAAGCCTACCTTGACATAACTGAGGTTTGTCGAGAAAGAGGTCTTTCAGGTGGAGAAGTAAGTGTGTGCTCATGAAATGCATTCTTTTGTGTGATGGTTGTTGTATCTGCTTTGAGAGAATTTCAGCTGACACTGCCACTGTACTCTGTTCATTTCTTCACTTTATGCAGATTGCAGAGGAGCTTAGATCTTCTGTTCATTCCGAGACTGGACTGACATGCAGTGCTGGAGTAGCGGCAAACCGCTTGCTCGCCAAGGTTCTCTCCCAATATGTGCATAAACTTCTTTATTTCGCCCAAATATATATATATCTCTTTTCCTGATTCTGCATGCATATGTGTCTGTGTGCTCTATAATAATGTCTTCCAGGATTGTTTTCTGAATCTATTCCCTACCATATTTCAGGTTTGCTCAGACATAAACAAACCTAATGGACAGTTTGTTCTACAAAATGACCGATCCACTGTCATGACTTTCATCTCTTCCCTTCCTATAAGAAAGGTTTGCGATCCCGAATTATTGTGTTGGCTGTCGTTCCTTTGGAGTATTTTTTTGTTCTGAAAAGTCAATGATGCTGTATATTCAGTAGAAATTTAGTATCTTGGTAGTAGTAGAGATGCCGCGCAGAACTTGAAATTCTTTATGAGTTGTGAAAACCATATTTGTGTGTTTCTGAAATGCAAGTTGGAAATTGGTTAACAGATTGGAGGAATCGGTAAGGTTACCGAGCATATTCTGAAGGATGCTCTGGGAATTAAAACGTGTGAGGAGATGGTGCTGAAGGGGTCTCTTCTCTATGCTCTCTTCACTCAGTCTTCAGCAGGTAGCAGTATCTCCTGCTTTCTTTTGACTGTTGCTTTCGAGTGAAAGGATTTTTTGTTGTTTATAGCTCGACAATTTTTTTGTAGACTTTTTTCTCTCTGTTGGACTTGGGCTAGGGAAAACAGCCACTCCTGAGGTTAGGTCTCGAAAGAGTATCAGCAGTGAGAGGACATTTGCTGCAACAGAAGATGAAAGATTGCTATATTCAAAGTTAGGTGAGTTGTTTTCGTCCTTATGAGATCTATAACTCAATAGTCAAAGTCACAATGGGTCTAGAGAAATTGAACTCAGAGAAGGATTGTTTCTTAACAAGACTATATATATAATAGTTAGTTCCTGGGGTAGTGAGCAATCATACTTCAAACTGATTGCCACATAATGCATTACAAACTTTTAGACTAAAAAAATATAAAGTTGTTGCCATTGAATTGATTACCTGTACTGTTCTTGGCAGCTGAAATTGCAGAAATGCTATCACATGACATGAAAAAGGAGGGTCTAATGGCAAGGACTCTGACACTTAAGCTGAAAACTGCCTCCTTTGAGGTGCTCTTCCAAAGTTTTATGTACTCTATTCTTTGAAATACAATTTTGTGCTGAAAGTGTGACATTTTGCAATTTAAAGATTAGGAGCAGAGCTGTTAGTCTGCAGAGTTGCACATGTTCAAGCGAGGATATACTAAAGCATGCTACAAAGCTGTTGAAAGCGGAACTTCCTGTTTCCATAAGGCTGATAGGTTCACTTCTTTAATGTTCTTAGTTCTTCTTTCTTTAGAAACCATTAAGATAAAAAAATATACTGTCCGTGTTACTAAAATTCCATTTGTTCAGGGTTGCGCATGTCTCAATTCAATGAAGAAATCCGCCATTCTGATCCTTCACAGGAAACTATTACCAAGTTCATCGTTCAAAAGGATTCCTCAAGGCAAAATCTGGATGATAACGACTCAGTTGACTTAGATGCTAGTAAGAGTAACGACGAGAGCTTAAGTTTATCCTTTGGTTGTTGTGATACAAGCCATGCTGAACTGAAGAATGATGTTGAATATGAAGAACGATCCCGAATAGATGCAGTCGACAAAGTAACTCCAAATCAAGAATGTAAGAATAAAGAAGAAAGGCCGTTAGTATTGGAAGGAGATACTCTGCTTATAAAACACAAGGAGTGCAAACCAGATACAAGTGAATCAGTGAATGATAATAATTCTAATGCGCAAATGACCGAAGCAGTTTCAGTATTTCCGCAGACGGAGCCGTTATTTTGGGTTGATGGCTACAAATGCAACCTGTGTGGGATCGAGTTACCTCCGTCTTTTGTTGAGGAACGACAAGAACACTCTGATTTTCATCTCGCACAGAGACTTCAGAACGAAGAAGAAACTGGTTCTAGTTCTTCCCGAACACCTGCTTCAAAACGAAGGTCAGCTCACAGTTACAACCTCCTGAGCCTACTCCACTATTGTTTTTTCTAACATGTCTCTGCTTCTTCTAACTGAAACTTCATATCCTTCTTGTTAGGATTCTTGGAAAGGAAAAGGCAAACTCCAAGCCAAAGAAGCAGAAACCAGATCAAAAGGAAGGTAGCAAACACATCCCAATACACACATTCTTCACAAGGAGCAATCAAAACTCGTAAGCGCTGTTCATGTTATCGTCCATAGTTAACCTTTCCTTCTTACTGCTAGATAATGTCACAGGATTTCGCAGTTTTGTATGCTCGATTTGTAAATAAAACAAGATTCTCTATATGCATTCTGTGGCCTCCCTTTTTCTGTAATGGTTTTCGTGCGTTACACTTGTTTTATTCTGACTTTCTGAGTAAGCTCGTTTGTTTAATCACGCTTCAGAGAAGTCCTGTTTTCTTACTGTAGCATCTGCAGTTTGACAGCGAAGGCTTTTGAAAGTCTCCCACCAAAGTGATGGATGAATATGTGGATGTAGTTTGGTAGTTATACCACATATTTATGTTCACGTGATGAAAATCAGAAAGGATTTGAGTGTTATGATTTAGTTGACCTGGAATCTTGTGCCATGATAGTTCATAGCTGAGTCTTATAGTGTATGAGGTAGAGATTAAGATAATATTGTTGTGGATCAAAAACAGGAAAATTGCAGAGGTTATTGTTTCTGTTACAGTGCAGAAGGTAGGAGCTGCTCCTAAACGAACCGTTGTTCTTGTTTGGTATAGGTGATCAGGTGAAGCAGCTGCAAGACGAACTGAAGCGTTTGAGCTGCTTCTTGGAAAATGCAGATGAGAAGCAGCATAAAAGCGAGAGAATGCGTAACTTATGATGCAGAGGATTTCCTTGAAGCATTTTTCCTAAAGGCGGAATCAAAGAAAGGAAAAGCGATCAAAAGGGTGTTTAGGAGGCTTGCTTGCATCCCGAGTGAGGCGGTTTCACTTCATAATGTTGGCTCAGAGAATCTAGAAGAGTGGATGCTTCGGGGAACGAGATCCCTGGAGAACATGACAAAAGCATTCAAAGACAAGCTAGCCTCTGGTGGTGAATATTTCTACAAGATTCAACATGTGCCTTGTGGATATGGAAGCTCTTGTTGCAGCAATCGCACCTCACAACCAGTTAGCCTTTGGTGAGATGATGGAAGAAGGGGATATGGATTTGGATGGTCTTTTTGATTCTGAACTTGGTGAACTCAATTTTGATGAGTGTTTTAAATAAGACCATGAAGAGATGGAAGATGATCATGGTGAAGAGAAGACAATATATTCAACTAAGATAGCTCAGCTGCAGTTTTCCAGTACAGCTTAATTATTTAAGTTCTGCAATGCGGGAGTAATCGAGTAACTAACTTCATGAACCCACCAAAACTAAATCCTAAAAAGCAATAGAATTGCAAGTCATCCGTAAATCACAGGTAGGTCCAAGGAATATATCAATCAGCAATAGATGGATATGATACATGGTAATGATGGAGTTCGAAACACTGTACATATCATATCATACAAGGGAACGAAAATATAAAGTAATTAAAGAAACAGAAGTATCATCGTCACTTTTCCGGTATAAAGGTATCATGTCAGTCAAAAAACTACTTTGGAGCTGCTTAAAACATACACCAAAATAGAATAGTAGTATGGCATATGCTACTTTATTCAAACAAAGAACTTGAGGAACAAAACTACCGAACTCTGTTGGAAACATTTCAACCAAGACCAAACAATACCTGTCAGCACCATCGCACTTGCCAGCAACAGACTTGTCTTGTTCTGCACCACCACGAGGCATGTTGTCATCGCTGGAACACCAAGAGAATATAAGCACAAGCATAGTGAGAGATGGATAAGCTTTGCATGATACACCAAAAGACTACATTCACTCGGAAGATGTTTTTATTCTACTGAGAGATTGTGATCAAATAACACCAAACATTTCAACCAAGACCAAACAATATCTGTCAGCACCATCGCACTTGCCAGCAACAGATTTGACTTCTTTTGCACCACCACGAGACATGTTGTTATCGCTGGAACACCAAGAGAAAATATAAGGTCGATTAACACAAGCATAATGAGAGATGGATAAGCTTTGCATGATACACTAAAAGACTACATTCACTCGGAATATCTAACCTGGATTCACACAAGTATAGTGAGAAATGGATAATTGCAATGAAATGCGCTTTTATTCTACTGAGAGACTGGGAGCAAATAACACCAAGAAGATGAAGTGTGTTTTATCTAAGAAATCAACACACGCATAATAAGAGACCGATATACAAAACATGGCAGTGTTTGGGCAAAAAAAACTTGTAGTGCCGTTGTGTAGCTATGTAGGTTTCAAGTCAATAAGTTTATATAAGGCTAAAAACTGATTTTTGTGATCTTTTAAATACTTATGGGGTTGATGTTTTTTGGGGGGGTTTTACTCTTTAGCCAACCCAATATATAGGATTTTTTTACCTATTTTTCATGTAGATACATTAAAGAAGAGAAATGGATAAATCACAACCAAAAACAAAAAAAAATGATTTTGTTCATTATTTACTATTGGATTTGTCTCTATTTAATATTCATCACGTTTTCAAATTGAAAAAAAAGAAGTTTTTTTTTTTTTTATAAAAGAAGAAGTTTTACAATTCAGATGTGCAAAAAACCATTGATGCATGGCATTTCCGATACTAATTGGGTGAAATGACAACAATGATTTTATAGTATTATATTAAATAATCCAGGTAGACTCATCCATATTGTCGCCAGAAAGCTCCTCATCCATAGACTCATCCACCTCCTCACCGACCACAACTACTTCCTCACAAGAAGCCTCCTCATTGACCACAAAAGACTATGCTTCCTCATTAGAAGACTCATCCACCTCCTCATCCGTATTGTCCACTCACCAGATTTCCAGTGCGGATAGTTTATAACAATGAAACTACTTGGCATAAACTCATTAGGCTGTGGAAACATCAGAAAAGGATGGACTACTGAAGAAGTATTCCATATGTCTTTTACATCATCTGGAATACCCTCTTCCATGTATGAGGCCTCAAACCATCATTCTGTTAGATACTGATTACAAAGACACTATATTATTCAGAAGATAAAAATATATTACTGAAAAAAATGTGATTGAATAAATGTTTATTGTACCTTTTTCTCCTTTTTCTCCTCCTACTTCCGTGAATGGCTTTAATAAATCAATCCTTATATTTTCGAGAGTGAAATGTTCCACAGATGAACCACATGATAACTCATAATTAGCTGTGGAGATTCACAAGCCTCCAACAGTCATAGGCTTGCTCTTGAGCAAAGGATTACTCAAAGTTTCAACAGCAGCATAAAAAGCATCCATATCAACATGCAGCCAAATTCTGGATAGGTCGCATGCTGCTTAAAGCTCTAAGATCCTTCTATCAACCACCTTCAAATATAAAAAAGTTACGGCTAGCAAACTAAAATGAAAGATACCAAATCCAGTATTCCTTATTGTAGCCAAGAATGTAAAGAAGGTAAAGAAGATAGTTTTATACATAAGAGACTAAGACTCAGCAAAAGTGAACACATACCTTTTGATAATTAGATAAATCAGAGGAAGAGAGCATTGAACACTTATCACACCTACCATCGTGTGGATTGAAACTTGAAAAACATATCTCACAAGGAACCTGTTGATGCCCTGGATCTTCTTTTCGTCTTCCTCTTCACCATGATCATCCTCCATCTCTTCATGGTCTTCTTCATACCACTCATCAAAATTGAGGTTCACCAAGTTTAGCATCAAAAAGGCCATCCAAATCCATATCACCGTCACCAAGTTCAGCTTCAAAATGATGATCCAAATCCATATCCCCTTCTTCCATCATCTCACCAAAGGCTAACTGGTTGCGAGGTGCGATTGCTGCAACAAGACCTTTAAGGATCTGGGTGTTATAATCTTGGTAAAGTCTGCCTCTTTTTATGTTAAGTAAAGAAAAAGAAAAAGAGAAAAAAAAATTCATTCAAAAAAAAAAGAAAAAGAAAAAAACCACAAAGTTTGAGTTGTCATGACTGTCTGATTTCGTTTTCTTTCAGGTGTATTTAGGCCAAAACAGTAATTAAGGATCATATCATATTCTGAACCATTTTTTCAAAAACGATCCAAAGTAAGTTCATATCAAAGATATAAATCCAGTTGCATGTAATTTCCTTTCACACCAATATTAGCGCTTTCATGATAACTCATGCATGGTGTGATGAATCAAACAAGATATAGGTTTCAGAGGTGCGTTTTCTTGAAATTCAAAATATTCCAACTAAACTATAACAAAAAAAAAACGGAAAACAACTAGATATGCTTCCACCAGCTGATGTAACACAGTTTGTTATTAATCTCTCTGAGCTTCAGAATTTTAACTTTAGAGAATATCCCCGAAAAGCAGAGTTTCTCCTTCCATCTCGGTGCATCAAGTTTGTAGCAATGCGTGATTACTCCATGACCTGTTTCCTGTTCTCGAGAAAACCTCCCACACTAATTGTTTGATGAATCGTACGATCTCGAAGGATACATGTGCTATATGTGACAAAACATCTCGAAGGCGACTTTACGAGATGATCCTCCCGTTGTAACGGAAGGTTCCAACACATTGTTCTTTCTTCTAGTGCACGCAACCATATGGATCGAGCGAAAAGCTCAGAGACGAGAGCATGATAACAGTAGAAGCAACTATCATTATAATTAACAGCTTTTTAAGACGAGCATGAGTAACTAACGCTCTCCTAAGAAGATGAAGCAGAAGGAGAAGAAACAACATAATCGATTGCATCAATGTTGTGTGAATCATCGATCATCCCAGAAGCAGGAACCATGAAGTTAGTTGGGAACGAACGTCTCTTCGAGAGAGACGAGCAAAGAGTTTGACCCAATCATTTTCCGATCATCTAAAATATATATGCAAAACCCACGATAACTATATAATGATATAATTGCTCAATCAAGGCTATATTTGAAGCAAAATCCATTTACCACTCTTAACTTGGTTCTTTCTACGCCAACATAATAATAATTCAGGCGCAAGTTTTGTGGAATAAATAGAACAAATAAGCCTTGATTGAGCAATTATCCTGCCACATTTTAAGATCTTGCTACTTAACATTCCGAGTAAGCTCATTTGTTTAATCACGCGGCAGAGCAGTCCAGTTTTCTTACTGTAGCGACAGCGAAGACTTTTGAAAGTCTCCTACAAAAGTGATGGTAGAATATGTGGATGTGGTGGTTCGTGGGCCAACATAAAAGAACATGATGGTAAAAAGATGAAAATCAGAAAGGATTTGAGTGTTAACCCGAATTAACCGAACGAATCGATTCTGTAGGTGGATGCCACGTGTCGTATGTGCTATATATTATCCTCATTATATGAATTTTCTCTTTTAATTATTTTAATCTGATCTCTCCTTCAGGAACGAAACACAGAAGAAATGAAGATGGCTCTGAGCCCACCGAAACTCAATCTCCCACCGTCCAATTCCCTCGGCGATCCCAAATCCCTACCCTCGATGTCCGACATCCTGACGTCATCAAGAGCTCGAAAGCTCGATTTAAAGATCCAGACTTTAGGACCGTTTTTCAGAGTGACCGGGAAGAACGCAGACACAGGCGGTGAGGTCGGACGAGCAGAGGGAGTGGTTCGGCCATGGTTCGGACGCGGCTTGATTCTGCATCTGGATACGATAAGATTGACGAAAGAGACGATGGCGATGGAAAAGTCTGTTCTTGGAGTTGGTCTATACGTCGGAGCTGTAGCTATTCGCCATGGCTACGACTGTGGTTGCCGCACTGCTCAGCTTCTCGCTATCTACGACTCCGATCTCTACCATTCCAAGGTCTCTCTCTCTCTCTCTCACTCCTAATCGAATTTGAGAATTTGGTTTAGCTATATACCGAACCGGACCAAGTCCTTTCAATTCGGGTTTTGTTTTATCAGTAGGTTCAGTTTGATCAAAATTTAGTTTAGTTCGGTTCGGTTAAGTAAATGAACAAATATGGCTATAGAAAACCAATCCTGATCATCAATTGGGTTTAACAACAAACCGAACTCGCATGTATGTGTTCAGCTGGTTAGGTTTTACAGAAGAATTGGGTTTGAAGAGGTGAAAGAAGTGAGTGGGTCTTCGATCGGAGACATGGCTGATATGTTAGTGTGGGGTGGTGTTGGCACTCGCATGGATGCTAATATCCATCATCTCCTTGTTAAATGGTCCAAAGTTTTCCTCAAATCAATTTCTTAATGACTTTGTATATATATCATGTTCCCTCTAAAAACGAATCAAAACATCTGACAGAACATCTCCAGTTTTGTCTATGCCATTAAATTTTTTAAGTAATTACTTATTTGATGCTATCGTCATACAAAAACAACTGAATTCATCATGGTCGTGATGCATAAGAAGGTTACTATGATTTTCAATAAATGATAGCTCCTTTGGTTTACTATGAACAATTCAGGATTAGAGGAAATCTTAAATTTCAAGTTTTGAATGTAGTTGCTACTTCTCATCCGGTTTAACTCCGGTTACGCTGCTCCTTTCCTCAATTCAAGGGATTACGAATTTCAAAAGGAGAGAGAAACGGTCATGAATCGATTGCCAAACAGAACCTAAGCGGCAAAATTTAAAATTAGAAAATATGCAGCTCACGAGGATATTATTAACCGTGGTTAGCAGCAACCCAGTTATATTGTTACACGTGTCATGTACGAGCCGTTACCTACAGATGGATGGTTCCACTTATAGATACACCTTCTATTAGTAATCCGTAAAACCTAGAAATCGAAAGAAGCAGATCTAGATCCATTTTTCTTTTCATCCAGGAGAGCGTCTTCATAAACGCCTCCGATTCTTCTTCGTCTTCCCCGCGAATCTAGCTTTTAGATCTTTCTTCTCCGAATCGAAAATGAGGGAGTGCATCTCGATCCACATTGGTCAGGCTGGTATTCAGGTCGGAAATGCCTGTTGGGAGCTTTACTGCCTTGAACATGGCATTCAGGTTCGTCTCCTCCTCTTCCGCGATTAGATCTACGTTTTTGGCTATATTTCTCGTACTTCGATAGATCAGATCTGAGATATTTCCTGCTGCATTTCTCTTATTCTTCGTAGATCTGCGTTTGATTAAGATGTCTTGTGTAATTGATGTGGTTGATGCGAGATTCGTTTCTCTTTACTTCAAAATATTCGATGAACGAAAACTCTTGTTTAGATCTGCGTTTGATTTCAGTGTCTTGTGTAATTGCTAGCTTTGGTTTATCGTTGAACAGTAACTCCGAAGATGTTAATGGATAATATCTCCGATTTGTTCAAGCTTTCTCGATAGGATTCGCTCTTTTTGTGGCTGCTTCATCGTCGTTCGATCTATGGATCCTCTTGACTTTGTATATCCTTTGTGTATTTCCGTACTGATGTTTTGCTTTTGGCTCTGAAATGGCGCAGCCGGATGGACAGATGCCGTCTGATAAAACAGTTGGCGGAGGCGACGATGCTTTCAACACCTTCTTCAGTGAAACCGGTGCAGGAAAGCACGTCCCACGTGCTGTGTTTGTCGACCTTGAGCCCACTGTGATCGATGAGGTCAGAACTGGTACTTACCGTCAGCTTTTCCACCCTGAACAACTCATCAGCGGCAAAGAAGACGCAGCTAACAACTTCGCCCGTGGGCATTACACCAGTAATTTTCTCATCCTTTGCTCAAATTTCCTTCGTTCCATCAATCACCTATTGTTGACTCTACTGTATATTAGCTGACTGGCTTAAACTTGTTTCTCAGTTGGAAAGGAAATTGTTGATCTGTGCTTGGACCGTATCAGAAAGCTCGCTGATAACTGTACTGGTCTCCAAGGATTCCTCGTCTTCAACGCTGTTGGTGGAGGCACTGGATCTGGTCTTGGATCTCTTCTCCTTGAGCGACTCTCTGTCGACTATGGGAAAAAGTCCAAGCTTGGTTTCACAGTTTACCCATCTCCACAGGTCTCTACGTCTGTTGTTGAGCCTTACAACAGTGTCCTCTCCACCCACTCGCTCTTGGAGCACACCGATGTCTCTATCCTCCTCGACAATGAAGCTATCTACGACATCTGCAGACGCTCCCTAAGCATTGAGAGGCCCACCTACACCAACCTCAACCGTCTCGTCTCTCAGGTATTATATAAAGCCCAGCCACTAGCAACTCTTTCATCACTAGTAATCTTGTTGTTTTTCCGTCTCTCAGGTATTGACTCTTGTCTTTTTGATCAGGTGATCTCATCCTTGACTGCTTCGTTGAGGTTCGATGGTGCTTTGAACGTTGACGTCACTGAGTTCCAGACCAACTTGGTCCCATACCCAAGAATCCACTTCATGCTTTCGTCCTACGCACCAGTCATCTCGGCCGAGAAAGCCTTCCACGAGCAGCTCTCAGTCGCTGAGATCACAAACAGTGCCTTCGAGCCAGCTTCCATGATGGCTAAGTGCGACCCGCGTCACGGGAAGTACATGGCTTGCTGTTTGATGTACCGTGGTGATGTCGTCCCTAAAGACGTCAACGCAGCTGTGGGAACCATCAAGACGAAGCGCACGATCCAGTTTGTGGACTGGTGTCCCACTGGATTCAAGTGCGGTATCAACTACCAGCCCCCAACTGTGGTGCCAGGAGGTGATCTTGCCAAAGTGCAGAGAGCTGTTTGTATGATCTCAAACTCCACAAGTGTCGCTGAGGTCTTCTCGAGGATTGACCACAAGTTCGATCTCATGTACGCAAAACGTGCTTTCGTCCACTGGTATGTTGGTGAGGGTATGGAGGAAGGAGAGTTCTCTGAAGCTCGTGAGGATCTTGCTGCGTTGGAGAAGGATTATGAAGAGGTTGGTGCTGAAGGTGGTGACGATGAGGATGACGAAGGCGAGGAGTACTAAAAAGATGGTTTGTTTCTGAGTACTTGTGTCGTTGTGTGGGTGTTCTTATTATCTTTTGTGTTTCCGTGTTGGAGAAGGGCTCGAAACATCCTTGTAACGAGTCTTACTTTGCGTGTTAGTTTGCAAAACTTGTGGCTAGTAGCCATTTGATTTTCTATATCTACCCCGTTTGTGTCAATTCGTGCCTCTTGTTTAATATCTTGCAACTATTTCATTTAACCTCAACAATTAAGTCCAGGTCGTGTCTCATTGGATAACAAATAGTACCTTGTTACTCACAGCTCATCAGATAATGTGCTAGCATTTACCTTTTGTAATAATTAAATTCCTCGACTTTGTTTTTATTCAGTGCACCTTCTTTGGTTTCCAATATAAAAAAATAGAAAATTCTCACTCCTTTATCTCTTGAATTTAAAAATTACAACTTGTGGGACAAACCCATAACTTGTTTCTCTGGCAAGTCAAGTAGGAGCCAAATCGAAGCCAATAATGCAAAAGTACAAAACAAACACACAGAAGGCAAATGATAAGGTAGGAAGAATCACAGAAGAAAAATCCCTAATCCCAATGGAGATAACAAGAGGAAGAGCAGTGGTAGAGGCGACAGTGGTAGAGATCATTGCGAGATTACCATTGAGAAGCATCGCGAGATTCAAATCTGTGTGCAAACAATGGAGATCGTTAATCGAATCTTCCTACTTCCGATGTCTCTTCGTCTCTCTCCACAGAAACTCATCTTCCTCTTGGTCTCTCATGTTCGGAGCCGATTATCCTCATCCCATCACAGAAGCTATAGGCTTCCATGGATGCGATACTTGGGATCTCCCCAAATCTCTAGGCTCTTACATCATTCCTTTTCGACTGTATCCGAATCTCCCAACCTCTAGATACTTCTATGTAGCTTCTTCCAACGGATTGATCTGGATCAATGCATTCTTCAATCGCACCGAGAACTTGGCCTACAGTTACAAATCCTTCGTGGGTAATCCGGTTTTACAACAATGGGTTGAAATCCCTCCGCCTCCAGAGCAAAGTGTCGCCACCGGTTTGGTGACGCGTGTCGAGAACGGCGTCGTTTCAGGTTTCAAAGTGGTTAGGACCGTTGACACTGGTCGAAAGATGGAAAGATTCATGGGAATGTATGTGTGGAGAGTGTGTGTGTATTCCTCCGAGACAGGTTTATGGAGTTTCAAGCGTCTTCTTTCTTCTCATCCCGTTAAATACACTGGTTCTTACCCTCCGGTGAATCTCAACGGGACGCTTTATCTCCGGGAAAGAGGTTTGGATCATCCTACTGATGAAGCTGGTTTTCTTGTAGCTCACGACTTCTATGGCCCTGAAGACGATGATCAATGCCGGGTTATACCTCTTCTTGTACCGGATAACAAACACGTTAGGAGATGCTTGACTACGTCAGGAGGAGATGTTATCTACATTGAAACACTTCACCGAAGATTGAAGATTTGGAGGCTGAACAACAACTTTGAGAGCGGTGAATGTTGGCAGCTGTCACGGGAAGAAATCGACATGGCTTCTGTTGGATTCGATGTTGATTGTTTCCCCATGGCAATGAATCCGTTTGATACTGATATCGTCTATCTATGGAGCCAACAGCACGAGTGTTTGGTGTCTGGTGACTTACGGAAACAAGAGTTTATTGTTCATCAAGAATCAGAGAATTGGAGTGATAGTGGAGGTTCTTGGCGCATCAACACATATAACTCTAAAGGGTATGTGGAAGATAATCGCAATGTAACAAGGGTCATCATGTTATCCCAGTTTGTGCTCCAACGATGGATGGATTCAGTGCCTCGTCCACCGAATTGAGCAATGTAACCTTTTACAGTAATTGCTTATCGCAAAACCTTCTTCTTTGGTGTTTACAGGTTTGATCTCTATCAGATCTATGAGTGTCATGTCGTGTGTCTGAAATTTAAGCATTGATTCAATATGAAAGAAAAATCAAAGTGGAATATAACAAATCTCGTAAATTTAAGCTTTCAAGGCAGTAGTAATATTCAGAAAACCTTTACCCTTTTTTTTATCAATAGACATTACTTAGCTAACCAGAACACAAGACAGGGCCTAAAAGGCAACAAAAACTACTAAAGGCTACCCACTGTTTAGACTTGAGAGTCGGACCACATCACTAGAGTTGCCAGAAGAGCAATGGTTGCTGTCTCAACTCGCAACCGGTGTGGCCCAAGTCCAACTGCTGTGCCGCCTGCTTCCAACATCATCTCCACCTCTTTCTTCGTGAAGTCTGCTCCAGTTTTCATCGTTGACTCGTTAGATTGTACCAGAATAATCTCATCGAAGACAAGTCACAAACCAGAACATTCGCTTTGTGTCTAATTCAGCAGTAACCAGTGTGATTTCGACAATGTAGAAGCATAGCAACGAAGCAGAAGTTTTAAGGCTAAAAAACTTTGCATCAGACATGTATTGAAGAAAGGGTTTGAATCTTACCGCCTTCTGGTCCAACGATTAATAGTCCGCTGGATTCTTTTGCTGAGGAGTTTAAAGCAGTGAGAAGAGGTGTAGCTTCTGCTGTCGCTACCAAACACAACTCTGACTTGGACATCTACAAAACCCCAACAAAAGGTATTAATGCATGTTTTTATCTTAGTTAAAAAAAGCCGGGACTTGTATAAACCGAGGATCTTGGCGAGTGCTCAGAGAGAGAGATGTTCAAACATACATGATCCAAGAGGGTACCAAATTTGATCGGAGGGCTCAGTACCATTTGATGTAGCCTTTGGCCTGTGACATTTAAAAGATTATGCAAATAGCTTGTGATCATACAACTATAACGCCAAAAAAGAGCAAGAGTATCACCAATTCAAGCGTTTCCTTACGCTATTGTTACTTACACTGCTTAGCCGCAGCAAAACTAACACGTTCCAATCTGTCAACCCGATTTTCAGAGATTATGGAAGATCTTTCTGTTAAAAGCGGTGTGACACTACTCGCTCCAAGTTCCTTAGAAGAGAATATAATATACACATATTCAGTGGCACAGAATATTCACAGGTGATTTAAACTAGAAGTAGATACATACTGTACATTTCTCAATAAGCCAATCCGCTCGACCACCCTTCAAGGTCCCTGACAACACATTTGTCAAAGACATTATGACTCGTGATAAGCAGGGAATATAAAAGCCTACGAATTTAATAGTGAAGAGCGTTTCTATTACATACCGAAAGCTGCAAAAACCTGCCACTGGATGCCCTGAGGAAGAATCAATTTCTGATCTTCTTGTGCGACAAAATCAACTCCAGTTTTGTCTATGCTTTGTATACAACCTTCCACCAAACCTCCTTTGCCATTAAAGAGTTCTACCCTTGCATCGAAAAAGGCTGCAAGTCATTACTTTTGGTGCTATCGTTATTTAAAAAAAAGCAATCGAATTCATCAATGATAAAGATGCATAAGAATTCAAGATTTGAGGAAAGATACAACAACTCAAAATTTAGAAGGGATCTCATGAATGTAACGTTGTGAAAGCTTTAAATTACAAGTTTTTGAATGTAGTTGTTACCTGTCGTCCGGTTTCAGTCTTAGAACTTTCGCCATATGCCAAAACTCAGAGCCTTGAACACGAACAATTCCACCCTATAATGATTTACAAACACCAAAGCTCAATATTTCATCTCATTTCACTCAACATAAGTAACAAAACCTCGTTTCTTGAGATGTCAATCAGCAAAAAAAAACACGTTAAAGTTTAAACAAATCTATGTCTTCTTCACTGGCTATGGCTTAGAACTCCCAAAAGGGAGATAGCAGCAATTTCTCAATCGCTCAGTGAATCAGTGATTACTGATACTGATTGGATTCTTACACATATTCAAATAGAGAAACAAGTACACGAGAGAGAGAGAGAGAGGATATGCCTTGCGCGAAGGAAGATCATCGGAGAAGAATCGAGGGAGGCCACCACGAGATTGATTCCGTAGGTTCAAATCCGACGACGAAGACGAAGAAGCAGAAGCGAACGCCTTGAAACTGTAAGGCGGTAGCCATGAGCGACCAAGTCGCGGCAAATCGGAAAACAGTGGCCGTGCAGCCGTTAGGGCTCTCATTGTTCAAAAGCTTCAGGATTTTTTTTGACCCCTTCCGAAGATTTTTGGTACAGTTCTTTATCGCTTCGGTTTACTACAGAAATTAGTCTGATCCGGTTTAACTCCGGTTACGCTGCTCCTTTCCTCAATTCAAGGGATTACGAATTTCAAAAGGAGAGAGAAACGGTCATGAATCGATTGCCAAACAGAACCTAAGCGGCAAAATTTAAAATTAGAAAATATGCAGCTCACGAGGATATTATTAACCGTGGTTAGCAGCAACCCAGTTATATTGTTACACGTGTCATGTACGAGCCGTTACCTACAGATGGATGGTTCCACTTATATATACACCTTCTATTAGTAATCCGTAAAACCTAGAAATCGAAAGAAGCAGATCTAGATCCATTTTTCTTTTCATCCAGGAGAGCGTCTTCATAAACGCCTCCGATTCTTCTTCGTCTTCCCCGCGAATCTAGCTTTTAGATCTTTCTTCTCCGAATCGAAAATGAGGGAGTGCATCTCGATCCACATTGGTCAGGCTGGTATTCAGGTCGGAAATGCCTGTTGGGAGCTTTACTGCCTTGAACATGGCATTCAGGTTCGTCTCTTCCTCTTCCGCGATTAGATCTATGCTTTTGGCTATATTTCTCGTACTTCGATAGATCAGATCTGAGATATTTCCTGCTGCGTTTCTCTCGATAGATCAGATCTGTACTCCGTTCCTGTTTAGATCTTCGTTTGATTTAGATGTCTTGGTATAATTGATGTGAGATCCGTTTCTCTACATTTCAAAATAAGCGATGAACGATAACTCTTGTTTAGATCGGCGTTTGATTTCAGTGTCTCATGTAATCGTTAGCTTTGGTTTATCGTTGAACAGTAACTCGATTAATATATCCGATTTGTTCAGTTTTTATCGATAAGATTCGCTCGTTTTGTAGCTGCCTCTACCTCGTTAGATTTATGGATCCTCTTGACTTTGAAAATCCTTTGTGTATTTCCGTACTGATGTTTTGCTTTTGGATCTGGAATGTTGCAGCCGGATGGACAGATGCCGTCTGATAAGACGGTTGGTGGAGGCGACGATGCTTTCAACACCTTCTTCAGTGAAACCGGTGCAGGGAAGCACGTCCCACGTGCTGTGTTTGTCGACCTTGAGCCTACTGTGATCGATGAGGTCAGAACTGGTACTTACCGTCAGCTTTTCCACCCTGAACAACTCATCAGCGGTAAAGAAGACGCAGCTAACAACTTCGCCCGTGGGCATTACACCAGTAATTCACTCATCCTTGGCTCAAACTTCCTTCTTCTTTACCCATTAGTCTTATTTTGCTGAGTCTACTGTATATAAACTGAATGGCTTGAACTTGTTTCTCAGTTGGGAAGGAAATTGTTGATCTGTGCTTGGACCGTATAAGAAAGCTCGCCGATAACTGTACTGGTCTCCAAGGATTCCTCGTCTTCAACGCTGTTGGTGGAGGCACTGGATCTGGTCTTGGATCGCTTCTCCTTGAGAGACTTTCCGTCGACTATGGGAAAAAGTCCAAGCTGGGTTTCACAGTTTACCCGTCTCCACAGGTCTCCACATCTGTTGTTGAGCCTTACAACAGTGTCCTCTCCACCCACTCGCTTTTGGAGCACACTGATGTCTCTATCCTCCTCGACAATGAAGCTATCTACGATATCTGCAGACGCTCCCTAAGCATTGAGCGGCCCACTTACACCAACCTCAACCGTCTCGTCTCTCAGGTTTAAAGCCCAGCCACTAGCAAACTCTTTTATTACTAGTAATCTTGTTGTTTTTCTGTCTCAAGTATATATTGACTCTTATCTTTCTGACGTTAATCAGGTGATCTCATCCTTGACTGCTTCGTTGAGGTTCGATGGTGCTTTGAACGTTGACGTCACAGAGTTCCAGACCAACTTGGTCCCATACCCAAGAATCCACTTCATGCTTTCGTCCTACGCACCAGTCATCTCGGCCGAGAAAGCCTTCCACGAGCAGCTCTCAGTCGCTGAGATCACAAACAGTGCCTTCGAGCCAGCTTCCATGATGGCTAAGTGCGACCCGCGTCACGGGAAGTACATGGCTTGCTGTTTGATGTACCGTGGTGATGTCGTCCCCAAAGACGTGAACGCAGCTGTGGGAACCATCAAGACGAAGCGCACGATCCAGTTTGTGGACTGGTGTCCCACTGGATTCAAGTGCGGTATCAACTATCAGCCACCAACTGTGGTTCCAGGAGGTGATCTTGCCAAAGTGCAGAGAGCTGTTTGTATGATCTCAAACTCCACAAGTGTCGCTGAGGTCTTCTCGAGGATTGACCACAAGTTCGATCTCATGTACGCAAAACGTGCTTTCGTCCACTGGTATGTTGGTGAGGGTATGGAGGAAGGAGAGTTCTCTGAAGCTCGTGAGGATCTTGCTGCGTTGGAGAAGGATTATGAAGAGGTTGGTGCTGAAGGCGGTGACGATGAGGATGATGAAGGCGAGGAGTACTAAAACAGATGGTTTGTTTCGTCGGGTAAAATGGTTGTTGTGTGGGGGTTTTATAATCTTTTGCGTTTGTGTGTGAAAAAGGGCTCGAAACATTCTTGTAACGAGTCTTACTTTGTGTCTGTTTTCAAAACTTTGTGGCTACTTGGTATCCATATATTTCTCTATTATCTACTGCGTTCGTGTCAACTTGTGTCTGGTTATATCTTACAGTTATTTTCAAGAAACTTCAAGAATTGAATTCAGGCTATGACTCCTTGGATAATGTAGTCCGGTATTTTGTTTTTTGCTAATGTAGTCCGGTATTTTTGTCCGAATTTGGGAAATAGAAGTGTTCAAAAATTCATTGATTACATCAGAAAATGCACTTAGAATGCAGTTGAGGGAAGGAAACCAACAAAGTTTACTGGCATTCATCAAACGATATAAACGGTTTTGTCGAGAACAGGAAACAGGTCATGGAGTAATCCTGCATCGCCACAAACGTAATGCACCGAGATGGGAGGAGAAACTCTGCTTTTCGGGGATATTCTCTAAAGTTAAAATTCTGAAGCTCAGAGAGATTGATAACAAGCTGTATTACATCAGCTGGTGGAAGCATAAGTTCGCAGGGAACGTTAACGGTCAAGGCACGGATAGTATCCGTCGGATACATTTCGACGTTCAACAGAAGAAGTTGAGAGTGTCAGAAGAAATGAAAGAGTTTCAAACTTTCTAATCACAGACAATATATACCGTTTAGAATTCGATCCTGCCTCGTGAGGTTTATTATGGCACATTTCTCCGATATATACCGTACTAGAGATATAGACAATTTCCGTTATCAGTTAAAGATTTTTGATTTATTTTATTCTCTTGTATTTAACATGTAAATGAAGAAAATACACAGAAAAATTACAAGACATATAGACAATTTCCATTTTATTAGAGAAAGACTTCTGATTTGTTTTTCTCTTGTATTTTCCATGTAAATTTTAAAAAATAATATTAAAAATGTAGAAAAATTACAAGTAATATAGACAATTTCCGTTTTATTGATGGAAGATTTCCGATTTTTTTTTTCTCTTGTATTTTCCATGTAAATAGAAACAATACTAAAAATATAGATAAATATTTATAAGAAATGTAAACAATTTCCCATTTTGTTAGCGAAAGATTTCTGATTTTTTTTTTCTCTCTCTCTCTCTCTTGTATTTCAATAAAATATAGAAAAATTTACATTTGGTTAACTGAAGATTTTCGTTTTCCTTGGAGTTCCTCTTCCATTGTATTTCCTTAATCTCTTGTTAGATTAAGCCTCATATACGTACGTATATATATGTTTGCATCCAAGAACAAAGAGAAGTACCTACACGTTTTCTTCTTCTTCTTCTTCTTCTTGAAAAAAAAAAAAATTCAGCAAAGATGATAACGGCCGACCAATTATTAGATAGTGCTATGATCATAACAAAAACACTGACAAAGAATGACCTTACACACAATATTGTATTGCCGAAACAACAAGTTGAATCCGTGATAACGAGGATGGATGAAGCTATGGTCAGCAAGCTGCAAGAAGGTGTAAAAGTGAATGTCATCGACTTTATAGAAGCCGATGAATACACAGTTACCCTCAAGTGTTTGATCATCGACAATAACCCTAGATACGTTTTCGGGGAAGGTTGGAGTACCATGAAGTGGTCGCTAGATCTCGAAGAAGGCCAACAACTGAAGCTCTATTGGGATGTTGAAGATAAGAAGTTTTATATTCTCAATTTCTGTTATCAGACAATTCCTCTTATGATTCCCGTGTAGCCGCGCATGCATGTTCGCTTCTTCGTCCTGCTTCCCGTTTTTTTTTACTATTTTAACTTCTGCTTTCATTAGGTTTTGGATTTCATATTCTTCTTCTACTTTTAAGTGTTTTTTTTAGTTATTTCATTGGAATAATATCTAGCTGTTTTTCGTTTTTTTTGTTCTAATTTAGTTGGAGTATTCTGAATTTCAAGAAAACGTACCTCTGAAACCTTAATTCATCACACCATGCATGACTTACCATGAAAGGAAATTAGATGCAACTGGAATAATAATACTATCTTTGATATGAATTTTACCTACTTTTGAAGAATTTGGTTCAGAATATAATATGATCTTAGCCTAAAATATAGTCTACTTTTTATGGAGCAACGTCAAACTTTATGTTTTTTTTTTTAATTTTAAACATAAAAGGGGCAAACTTAACCAAGATTATAACACACAAAATCCTTAAAGAAAAATCCGGACAAACAAATGTTTTTGAAAGAAAAAAAATGATTATTTCTTTTACGGTTATCTTCTTCTTCTCCAAAATTAGGTTGAGAGCTCTCTGAGCTTATCGCTGGATACATATGATGACGTGCATTACAAGAAAGACAGTGTTTTGGAACCTTCCGAGTAATAACTCTTTCAATATTCCTCATCCAACACTCAACCCGCAGACTTCAACAGCCCGTTGTGCACATCGAAATTCCTTTCCCCCGAGCTTATTATCCAAAAGCATAGC